CTTTCCTTTCCTTTCCTTTCCTTTCCTTTCCTTTCCTTTCCTTTCCTTTCCTTTCCTTTCCTTTCCTTTCCTTTCCTTTCCTTTCCTTTCCTTTATTTTTTTAAAATTTATTTTCTTCCCTCCTCTTTCCCTCCCTCCCTCCCTTCCTTCCTTTCTAGCTATTTTTTAAGTCCCGAAAGCTAATAATTATTTTACATATTTAAATGGCTGAAAAAAATCAAAAGAAGAATACTTCATGAAAAATTACATGACATTGAACTCTGTCCATAAAATTGTTTTGGAACATAGCCATGCTCACTCATTTATATTATTTACATTATGTTGTTAGAGTATAGTTGTTTTTATATGGCAGAATTGAGTAGGAGTGACATAGACCATATCACTCACAAAGGCTGAACTTTATACTACCTGGCCCTTTACAGAAAGAGTTTAGATTTTAACCCACCCCTGGTTTAGTGTAAAAGGGAGGCTACAGAATCACCCTATTTGCATAATCACCCTATACATTTTAATTGAGGAAGAAAATACCCTAAAATAGAAGTTATCTCTGGGTGCTAAGGTTATGTGCAACTTGAAATTTTTCACCAAACATGTTAAATAAAAAATATTAACAATAGGAGAATAAAATAGTAAATATTTGTCTCAGCCTACAGTGGGTCGGGACACTTTTAACTGCTGACATGCTTAATTTCACCTAATCCCCTTCCTATCCCTATGTGTAAGTCTCTCTGCCCTATAAATGAGGAAAGGAAGACTCAGAGTTTAAGTAACTTGCTCAAGGTTCCAGCACGAGTTAGAAGCAATTTGTACATTTATGGTGGAAACACACAAACAAAAGGGAGCAGGTTGAAAACATAAATTGGTTTAGGAAGAGTGTTTTGTTTGAATTCATAGGAGACCAATCATAACAGATACTGAGGAACTTAGAAATGCTTATGGTACCCTCACGTCTGGGATACCTCAAGATTGAGATATAATGTATTTGGAAGTGCCCAAAAAATGGCAGAGCACTCTACCAGCCTTCGAAGGCTGTGTATTCAGAAACCTGTCAAGGCACAATCTGCCAACTTCCCAAGACTTCCCATCAAATCCCTCTGGAATCAGAAACCACATAAATGTTAAGAACAGAGGTCTGATACTATGGTGCTTCCACATGATGGAAGCTGTGCAGCAGTGAAAGAACCAGGCGAGAATCATACTGTTGCTGTTTGTGTTGGCATTACGATCTCGAGACTGCTCTGTGGTAAAACAGGATAAAGCTAATGAGCAATTGCATAAAGTATGAATGCTATCATCCATGGCACCCTTGAGAGCCAGGATTCTCAGTGTAGAGAAAGGAGGCACAGATGTAAGAAAGGAGAGGTTAACTAAAACCCCCTGTCATTTTCATTTTGAATAGAAAGCATCAGTATGAACACAGGATGTATTTTTATCACAAACAACCACCATGTATTTCCTTGCTCTGTCCACGGAAGAGGCCCAGAAATGATGATCAACTCAGGAACAATAAGCATCCCCAAGGGCTCAGGTTATGGTCCCTAAAGACCATTTCCCTCTCAGAGAAACCGAGATCCTTAGGGGAATGGCTGGTTCCAGGTTTGGGGCAGCCCCGGAGTATCTTTGCTTCCTTGTTATTTGGATGATATCAGACTACTGGGGTCATGAGAAGGAGCCAACTGGCCAGAGAACTGGCACGATTCAACCATCAATAACAATAAACAAAATGGATTAAAATACATCAACTGTGTTTAAATCTACAAGTTTATAAAGATAGCTAAAAGCCAGACCAAGAAACTCTAATTTTTTTATAACCTCTCACTAACGAGTGGGGATAAGCAATAAACACCAGTGGCTGCTAATACCACAAAAAGAGAGACACCTGGACATGATGCTCTTCTCACAAAAGAGCACAGTATAACCTAAGGAGGAGTGTTGTCCACAAAAATCAAATGTAAATATGATTAAACATCCAAATCAAACGACCAATTTATAGGAAATACAGATGGTAGAAGAACTCCTAAGTAGCCCCACAGAGCTGCAATCAGAAAAGCCCAGACTGTGCGAATCTCTACAGGACAAAGAATCCAATTTTATCATAAAATACATTTCAAGGCGTCAGGGAGAGGAGGGGGATGCAGAAGAAACATATAGACTGAGGCACATAGAAGACAGGCCACACAATCTACTGGGATGTGTGGTCCATGTTTGGATTCTGATTTTACATGCGGGTTAAGAAAAGGCACTTATGGAACTATTAGAAATGAGAACACTTGCTTGACGCTTAATGATACTAAGAGATTATTGCTAATTTGTTGAGATGTGATAATGGTATTGTGGTAATTAAACGAAAGGGTCAGTTTCTCTTAGGGATACATGCCTAAGTATTTACAATAAAATTATATAATGTCTTGGTTTATACATATGTGAATACATATGTATTTAAATTTGCTTTAAAATCACCCAGTGGTGGGTGAAAAAAGCAAGGGGGAACACAGAATGAGGTCAGTCTTGTATTGATGCTGAGGCTGGAAGAGGGTCCATAAAGATTTGTTGCTCTGCTCTTTCCACGTTCTAACATTTACAAGTTTCACCATAAAACATTCAAATAAATCCTTCCTAGTGTCATGCTCAGAGAGATAATACCAAGGCTTAGTGCATCATAGTTCTCACCAGTATCCCTTCCCTAATATTTCAGGAATAATGAAGGATTGAGCTTTATGCTTTAGCTTTTAGGGAGGGGTCTCCATCCTTTTCCTCATCAGTATAGGTCAGTATGTGTTTAGGAGCCTACATACGTACATATAAAAAAAAATCCATCCCCCAAAAAATATTTCTCATGACAAATATTTTGCTTTGAAGCTGCAAAGGATATGAAGGACTGGGGACTTCATGCAAAGACAATGAACTCCACAGAACAAAATCTCCCTGGCACAAGCATTCACTGGAGTTCATGACCAGGGAGAAAGAAAAAAAAAGTGTTGAGGTTGGTGGGTGTTTCTATCCTGAAGTTCTAAGCAAACGACAAGACAAGTCTGGATCAACGGGGCCACTGGTTGTGTTTTCATGGCATTATTCGCATCGGTGTCTCTGAGTTTCCTAAATTTGATAATACAGTAACCCCATGGAGGGGACACATTCCCTGATCAGGGCCCGATGGGGGTTTGGCTGGTGGGGGGGGGGGGTGGCAATTGTGGGAGGTCAGCTGTCTGGCCCTGCTCCTTATTGGTGTGTCTGGGCAGCCAATTGGGAATGGCCAGGGAGAGGGTCCACAAGTAGTTGTGTGGGGCTGATTGGAGCCCCAATTGAGCCAGTTGGCCTCCCCAGTGTGCTTCATAGTGACCGGTCATTCCAGTTCTAGCTGTTGCAGTTGCTTGGCTTTTATACATATACTAGAGGCACACTGCACAAATTCATGCATGGGTGGGGTCCCTCTGGTGGCCTGCAAGGATTGGGCCAAAACCCACAGTCCAACGCCACCTGCAGCTCCTATCTGTAGCCCCCACTCATCCCAGCTCCACTGTGCCTGTTATGGGCTTGTGCCCAATCAGTCCTGAGGGGGAGAGACCTGCGCTGCCATGGCAGTACTGGCCAGCCATGAGCTCTACATCTGGCACCCTCCCAAGAGGAGTGGCCTATGGGATTGGGCTGAAACCAGCTCTCTGACCTCTCCTGAGGGGTCCTGGATTGCGAGAGGGCACAGGTCAGGCTGAGGGACCCCACCAGTGCAGGATCGGGCTGGGGAGGGACTGTGGGAGAGCTTCATGGTGTGTCCAGCCTATCTCACTTAGTTCTAATAGGCCAGACCCCAGTAGCAAGCTAACCTACAGGTCAGAGCATCTGCACCCTGGTGGTCGGTGCATGTCATAGGGAGTGGTCGTCCAGTTGACTATCTGCCCCTTGGTGGTAAGTGCACGTAACAGAGAGCAGCTGCGCAGCTTTAGCATATCATTAGTATATTATGCTTTGATTGGTTGTTCAGTTGTTCTGCTGTTCGGTCTATTTGCATATTATCTTTTATTATATAGGATAGATTGTTAATCTCTTACTGTGTCTAACTTATAAATTAAACTTTATCATAGGTATTTATATATAGGACAAAGCATAGGAGTTGTTACCATATGCGGTTTCAGGCATTCACTGGGGATCTTGGAACATATCCCCTGAGAATAAGGGGGGACTACTATAGTTGGAGATCACTAAGGGTGCAGTGTAGGAGGTAGTTAGGAGTGTGAGCTTTATGATTAGATGTGGGCATGACCCATGGCCCTATCAGCTTACTCTACCCACTTTGATGATTTGTGTTATGGATTCTACCACTGACTTACTACAGGACTTAAATTTTGTAAAACACCAAGAATCCCTGAAAAATATAATGCATATACAGTAGGTCCTCAGATTACATAGGAGATCTGTTCCTACAGCGCAATATAAAGCAATTTTCACCGTAAGTCGGAACCCACCTATATAAGCATCTACGTCACTCACATGGAGCACACACACAGCAGTAATGGGGTGAAACAGTAAAAAAAAAAAAAAAAAAAAAAAAAAAAAAAAAAATTAAAGATAACATGCCTTCTGATTGTCAGGAGAGAGGAGAATGGAGGTGGCTCTCTAACCACCAGGACATTTGTGGTAAATAATAAAAAACATTAAGCTCATGTGTACATACATCGAAATGACAGAATTTTTTTTTTTTTTTATAAATAAGTGGGTGATGGTGATGTAACCACGAAACGATGTACATCGAGTCCAGCGTAACCTGAGGATTGCCTGTAACAGTAAGGTTTCTGTTTCTAGGTAATAATGTAATACACCTATGAAAACTATCCTCCTGGAATTCCACTGTGCACCTACCTGGGATGGTTTCCACGGATGGCCTCATAAATAATAAAACCTGGAATTCGAACTGAACACAGGCCTGGGACTCGTGTTAAAGGGTGGGGTGGTAGAGAGGACTAATGAACACCTTTGGATATAACGACTTAAATAGATAAGCAAACCTGGGCATCCTCATATGTGTATCTCCCTCCGTCTTTGACGTTTTGACTGGTAATCTCATAGCTGTGAGAATCCAGGTTGATTGCACTTGGGGCCCCTGGAGACAGAAACTCTTGCCAGATCTCTTCCACCCTCTTGGCCACATCCTGTAGGGGTTGTTTCTTGAGGTCTTGGACAGCCAGCCAGAACCTGAAGCAGAAGTAGAGAGACAGTCAGTTCCAGGGGGCTTAGCATCTGGGCTCTGCTGGGCGTGGCCCGAGCAATGACATCTATGAGACTCATTCTGCTGCACCCTCCACTCTTCCTCGTGGCCACTGCCCAGGTAACAAAGGCCGTAGGGACTGCTCTGAACATACAGACGGTGCTATGCTATTGTGGAGAAGCGGAAAGAAGTACACGTTAGAAGGTCGTTGTGCTCTGGTTACCAAGGAGAGATTTCTCTCCTTCCACATCACGGTTTCCCAACCACAGTGCTGTTGCCTTTGAGAGCAGGATAATTCCTTATTGTGAGGCCTGCCCGGTGCACTGTAGGATGGTTAGCAGCAACCTTGACCTCTACTCACCAGGTGCCAGTGGCAACCCCTCCCCGAGGTGTAACAACTAAAAATGTTTCCAGACATTACCACATGTCCCCTGGGAGGTGAAGTCACCCCTGGCTGGGAATCACAGTTTCTACATAGATGCCAGGACACAGACAAAAGTGAGTTCCTTTGTCACATCTGGTTGGGATCCATTAGTAGACTCATCAAAATGAAGGAAAGATCACAGAAACAGAATCTTGGAATTCTAAAGAATATAGGAGCTGGTAAGACTCAGCTCTTCCTGTTACAGAGGAGTTGATTCCCAGCATGGTGTGAGCTTATAGTAGACACTCAATAAAGGGCAGAGGATGGAGGGCAAGCTCATCTGGAACAAAGCGGAAGGGGCGTACATGGGGAACTTCTGCCGGAAGATTCTCCCTGGTCACTTCCATATCACCTCTCACAAGCCCCTCAATGGCAGCGACCACTGGGGGTGCTGGGTGTGAGCTCTTTGCTGCTGAGAGCAGGAGCAACCAGAGCCAAAGCTTGAGCAATAGCTCCCGGGGTCCTGCGATGGTTTCCCCAGGGCTCAGGTGTGGGTGGCACACTTGGTGTCCTGTGAATAAGACAAGGCCCGTTTCCACATCAACGTAACCTGAGGACAGGCCCTCGGCCATGTGACTCCCACAGCCACAGGCGTCACACACAGTCGAGCCGACGGGAGGGCTGGGACAAGAGAACTGAAACACAACATGGTGGAAAACGCATTCAATCTGTCATCGGATTTCACCCAAAGTAAGATGTACTTGTTGTTTTTTTCAAAGGTTAAACGTGTTTTTCTGTTGCTGTTCACAGATGGTCTTTGCAGCCAAGTGTGCGGCCCAAAGGCACCACTTAGTGGCCAACTGCGGTAATGCAGCTCCATTTCCACAAGGAGAGAAGACAGGTGTGCGCGTTAGTTCCGTTATTACATAGAAATCTCCTCCCATTTACTGTTTGGGATTCTAATAATCTCCGTGATTTCCTTAGTGACTCTGAAGAGCACGAGTGAAAGGCAGGGAAGGGGACTTATGGCTTAGCTCAATCGAAAGATGAGGAAGCACAGTTCCGTCCCCATCCTGGCTATGCTGCTATATTAGAATGCATCTTTCCAGGTGTCTCTTCCCTCACTTGTAAAATGGGTACGAAATGGATGGATAAATCTGTGACACGTGTTTGAAGGATTTTCCATCCAGGTGTAAGTCTGAAATGCGGCAAGGTCCTGTGGGTGGGAGCTGTGGAGGGGTCAGTGTGGTGGCCACAGGGTCAACACTAGCCAGTATGATCCCTCAAATGTCACCTTTCTTCTCCAGCACCTGGGCAGAAGCTGCCTGGGGCTCATGTTGTCACCTGCCGACCAACACCAGCCTCTTCCTTCCTGCCTCAGGTCTTGGTGCACATGCCTTCTGATGGCCAGGCAAGAGGAGAATGGGGGTAGCTCTCTGACCAGAGACCAGAGGCAGAAGTGGGTGGGGTGGAAAGGCGCTGTAACCCTGCTCAGCTGTGCAGGTAGGCTCTGAAAACCCATCTGGAGAGTGGGTCTCCTTCCCCTGGCCATCCCCCAGTTCCTTAGGTCTCCCTGCCCCACCCCTGGGCCTGCCATAAATGAAGGAGGTGGCCGAGTGCATAAAGGTGAAATGGTCATTGGGTGGTGACAGCACAGTCTTTCTCCACCCAGAGGAGAGTGTTGGATGAGCAGGTAAGAGAGCACAGGGACCCAGCTCTAAAGCAGCAGTTGCTGTTGGCATTTCAAAGGACCGGAGGGCGGGGAGGGTGAACAGGCAGCTCAGCAAGGACCAAGCTAGTGCAGGAATGTGCAGGGCAGAGGGGAGAAGGGCCTCTTTCAGTGAGTCACCTTTGGGACGAGTTCCTGGGCTGGAGGCCACTTCTCGGGACCAGTGTCCTTCGGAGCCTACCAAACCTCCATCTCTCACACAGATGGACGCTATCGGGCAATTCCTGTTCCCTCCGTCAATGGCTCCCTGCTGCCGACTCCTGCCCCCTTCTGTAGGCTGCTCTGAAGGGAGCCACCGAGCCCTCCGGGAAGGCCCTGAGGAGCCAGCACTTCAGAGCTTTGCAGGCGCCGTGTTCCCGAGGCCTAAGTTCCTTTTGCAGAATGATGTAGGCACCACATTAATGCACATCACCCAGAGGGTCTGCAGCTGATGTAAATGGAAATTTCAGAATCAAATGCAATCAACTTTTACATTAAAAAATGAGAGGATTCCCATCGTTAGGGTAAAAATAAGGATTAAAAAAACAGTACAAGAAGAAACAACAAGCGTGGAGGAGGAGGGGTCAGGAAGAGAGGAGGAGGGTGAGGAGGGAGAAGGAGGAGGGGGAAGAAGACATGGAGGGAGGAGAAAGAATAGGTTTAGGAGGAAAAGAGGGAGGAGAGAAAGAGAGAGAGAAGGGGAAGTGGGAGGAAAGAGGGAGGAGGTAGAAAAAGAAGAAAAGGAAAAGAATGAGGAGAGGAGAAGAGGAGAGGAGGAGGGGAAGAACAGGAGGAGGAAGAGGAGGAGGAAGAAGAGGAGGAGGAAGAAGAGGAGGAGGAAGAAGAGGAAAAGAATCCGGGAGAGGAGGAGTCGGGGGATGACATCCCTAGGCAGCTGTTTTCCTCTCCCCCATACATGGAGACCCTCTGGGACTTCCGTCTGCCTTGGAGATGACCTGCCTTATCCCTCTGAGGTCACGGCAAGAATGCTGCCACAGCAGCATCCTGACACCCCATGTGTGTCTGCCAGCACCGGCTCTGAAGAAGCTTTGTGTCAATTTGGAATTCAGAGCAGGCTTTGGTTTGCATTTGCCATCTGCAAGCCCATGGCTGAGCTGCAGCTCTGAGCCGGCTGCCTAGCCAGTGTCCTCGGAAGAGCCAGCAGCTCCCTCGGCACCTGGGCTGTAGCTGGGAGGCTCACGGAGGCTGCGCAGCTTCTGCTCTTATCAAAAGCCTGCAGGTACCGATGCCCCTCCAGGGTGCCAGTGGGAGGTGGCTGTCAGCCATGGCATCCAATCCCGCACTGAGCCCGTGGCGGGCAGCAGAAGGGCTGGCGGGACTGTTGTCAGGGAGGCCACCTGTCCTGCCTGGCCCCATCTTCAGGGCGCGGGCAGACAGCCCGTGTGCTCGCATGTGACCTGTGCCCATGGCTGAGGAATGCAGGCAGGCGGCGGCGGACACTGGGCTCTGCGGGCAGGCGGCCTGGGCTCAGGCACCACTGGGCTGAGCAGAGCCTGGGCCAGCCCACAGTCTGAATGCTGATGGCAACGGCTTTTCTCCTCGTGGCTGGAACAAGAAAAACCATTCTCCCTCCTGCCAGGGGCTCTGGGCAGGCCCCGTTCCTAGCTTACACAGCTTTTTCACAAACTAGGATGTTCGTGGGTTAGAAAAACCCAGTTCAATTGGTTTGCAGAGTAAAGCAAACTCCATGCAAATTCAGGGCTTCTGTGCCCTCTGCTGGCCAGAGACTGGGGAACCAGGGTCCAATTTGACTTCGGTGTTCGGTGGCAACCACCTGGTGCCAACATTGGGGAGGCCCCGGCACACCCCCCAGAAGCCCAGTTACGTTCACCAGGCAGTGGCTGAGCTGCCACAGATTGTCCCGGCGTGGCGGGAGTCACCTCTGTCCCGATTAACCATGTGTTTGGTTAGCAGTGAATCCCACTGGGCCTGGTGAACCTTCCGAGGTCTTTCCAGGACCCGGGGCCGGTGTCGGAGAGGGGGGCTCTCGACACAGAGCTGGCGACTCCCCCACGCTCTGTTTAATTGCTTCTCCCCTCAGCTGACACCGCGTGGAACCGGGATAATCAATCTGCAGCTCAGAAGAGCAACCCCGCTCTCTCCGGAGGCGGCACAGCTCATAAAAAATGTACGGGGGACGCTCTCTGCTGCGGGGTCTGACTGTTAACTCCTGCCCTGCCGTGCGGCGGAAGGTGTGGCGCCGGGGAGGACAAAGGTTTGTGCAGGGAAGATGGGAAAGGGACAAAGGCTCCTGTCGTCACTCTGGGAAAGAGTAGAGAGGGAGAAGGGCGGCCTCAGCTAACTCCCAGGAAGTCCCTCCTTCAGCATTGGGATGGGGCGGGGAGGAGAGGGGGGGAGAGGCCACCTGCTTTCCAAAGGCCTGGACCAAACAGCTGTGTCCAGGGCCCTCCCAGTCCAAACGGAGCCTGAGCTCTGCTCCGGGTGCCACGGGGAGTGTGCTGTCCCATACGCTGTCGGAGCAAAATGTGCCAGCCGCCCCTGCAGGCCCTGAGCTAGGCCCTCCTCCCTCCCCACTCACCCCCACAGACATCTTTCCTTAAAGGACTGTGTGACAGAGACTGTGTGTCGCTTTGGAGTCCTCTGTTCTGCATTCTGAAGCTCTGGTGTAACTTCGGCCCTCAGGCTCCTGTATGGACACCCCAGATGGTGTGCAAAGATGTTGTGATCCCAGCACCCCTTTCCCTGGAGAGACGCCGGGGAGCATAACAAGCCAGGCTGAGGGGCCCTTTGCAATGCATCCAGGTGTCCAGGTGCATTTTGGTCGGTCTCTCTCTCTTCTCTCTCTCTCTCTCTTTCTCTCTCTCTGTCTCTCTCTCTCCTCACATGTTCCAATGCCAGTTGCCTGGGATCCTGACCAATCCTGGGGAGCGGGGCTGAGCCTGGCATGGCCAACACAGCGGATGAGCAAGATCTCCGAGCTGTGCCATCTGCACAGCTCCGGGCGCTGCCATTCTCATGGCCCACGCGGAGGTGCACCCAGCCCAGGGTAAAACCGATTTAGCACCCAGTCCTCGGGACCCGGGTCAGGGCAGGTGCTAAGCCAACACAAAGGCAGGAGAAAAACTGCCTGGCGATGAGTCCTGAAGTTGTGTGATTGAAAACTGAGCTTCACTCCATCTATCCAGTTATGCTGAGTATCATGAAAGTGGAATTCAGACCTCCGGAGAGGATTTAGAAACTGTTGGCCCATGCTGTTCATCTCTGGCTATTCTATATTTTGTTTGTCCTCTCCCTCTACAGGGATCAGAGGGGCCCCTCCCTAAGTCTGGATTTATGCGTGCTATGGAGATCAGTCACCGGCACGCTTCCGCATGCTCGCACACACTCTCTCCCCAGGCTGAGTGCAGCCCTCCTGGCGCAGGAGGAAGCGGCTGGCAGAGGCGCAGAGGTAAAGGCAGGCGGACGCGCTGAACATCTGCCAGGCACACACTCCTCCACGCACGCCGGGCCTGCAACATGATGCATTGGGAAACTAGCCGAACTGTTAGGCGGGTGTGGCTACACTCGGCATGGACAAAGTAGTGCCGAGCCACAGGCCTCCTGCTCCTGGGCCCCATACAATGACCAGGATCCTGTGTCCATTCTTCAAAGTCTCTGTAACGGTGCGAGTGGCAGAGGGTCGTAGGGCCACTCACGGGCCAAGAAATAGTCAGGGAAAGGAGGCCTCTGGACCACTCTATCTTGAGGACCCACGGGGGAGGGGAGGACAGCATGAGAAGGGGAGATGGAAAGGACTTCAGGGGCGACTCATGAGGACCCGGCTGGGGTTGGAATCTGGGGCTGAAGTGGCCGCACAGAGCAGCTGCCTGGATGCCTCAGCTGGCCACAGAGGGCATGGCTTTCCATGCAGGACCTTCATCCCGACACAGCCTGCGAGACTGGTCTGGACCTCACCCCACATAAGTTTTAATGTCCAGTCTTCCATTACAAGCACCCAATTTGGAACTGAAGTAAAGCTCTGAGATGCATTCAGTGCAATGCCTCAGCAAGGAAGGAACTCGTGTTATAAGCCGAAACAGTTACTCAGCCTTATCTGGTTTACAGTAGGGACATGGCTGCCTGGAGAGGCATGGAGACATACAGTTAATTGCCATCTACAAGTTCTCCCAAGTCTTTATGGGCCAGAGGGTCATCAGCTTAGAGTTCTCTTCCTTTTTCCTCTGTCAGTATCCTATTCGTCTACTCTGGCTTGTATTCATCCCCCCCTTTCAAAACACTTCTAACACGGTTCTTAGAGTTTATACTTGTTTATATTCATTTCATGATGTTAGAGTTTTCCGTGTCCTTTCCTCGGCAACCTACAAAGGTTGTTGCAGGCGAAGATCATGCATCTTGCCTTCCTGGCTTCCCTCAGAAATGTCCGTGAGGCTTGCTATGGAGGAGGTGTGTAGTAAATCTAATTTGATTGATGTATGGGACTGATATGGTCTCTCACTCCAAATAAATCATAGGGGCTTTACACATGAATACTGCAGCAGACAGATTTTTACCCACTGTACATGCTCTAACTTTTCAAAATTCAAAAACCTTTTTAAAAGTTAAAGCCTTGAGCCAAAACTGGTTTGGCTCAGTGGATAGAGCGTCACCTGCCAACGGAAAGGTCCCAGGTTCGATGTACCTTGGTTGTGGCCACATCCCCAGTAGGGGGTGTGCAAGAGGCAGCTGATTGATGATTCTCCCTTTTCCATGTTTCTAACTCTCTATCCCTCTCTCTTCCCCTCTGTAAAAAATCAATTAAAAAAAGTTAAAGCCTTGAAACAAGACCATTGGAAAATGGGAATTAACCTGCCCAAAAGGGAGAACCTGGCACCAAGAAGACGGGGAATTCCATCTTCCCACTGAGATGTCACCAATTGGCTAAGACCACTAACGGGTCTTTCATAAGTTACATATTTCGTAGGTCTGTGCTTCTACATGGAATACAACGAAAACCTGAATAAAACACAAGTTCTCAATTTTTCATAATCATGAGTCCTTTCCTTTTTAATGCATCCCCTTCCCTTCCTCTCTCAGTGGACCTCACCTTTCGGAAGCCTTATGTTTTCTTCTGAGTAGTAGTGATTAATACATTAGTACATTTTCCCTTATCTTGATGTCCTAGTCCAATAGTCACAACGAGATGTTCCACTCACCTCAGGTGACCAGGATAACCACACGAATTGATAGACGTCCCCCAAAAGAAAAGCTCAGGTGTTAATGAGTTTTTGTAGTTACGTCTGCAGTGAATGAGTGATATTTGCTCTTGCTTTTTGAAATGCTGAGACAAGATTGATGTTTCTCTCTCCCTTTTTGTTCTGGTTGGCCTGTCAAATATTCAGGATCCCAGACTTGGGAAATTCAGGAGAGGGTGTCTACACTGTCTTTCCTCTGAAACTCCCTGGCTCTGTGGTTTTACTTTATTTTTTAAAATATATTTTTATTGATTTCACAGAGGAAGTGATAAGGAGGGAGATAGAAACATCAATGATGAGAGAGAATCATTGATTGGCTGCCTCCTGCAGACCCCCCACTGGGGACTGAGCCCACAACCCGGGAATGTGCCCTAATGGGAATTGAACCATGGCCTCTTAGTTCATAGGTTGACACTCAACCACTGAGTCATGCCAACTGGGCTGGCTCTATGGTTTTAGTTAAATGGTGGTGTCATCAAACCTATTTGCCTATCTACTTGTTATTAGAGACATGTTTCCAATAACTTGAGGAAATGCCATCTGGACTTGAACAACAATAAATGCTGATGTTGTAGGTGCTAATATATGGTGATAGCCAATCTACGTATAGTTTGTCTCCATTTCAACCTTCCACAGATCAGCTGGAATTTGTTTGAACCCTAACATTTTATTGAAACAGGGAGGCAGAAAGAGAGGATGATTATGCAAATTCCTTCACACTCAGCTCAAATCTTTGAGAGATTTACCTGAGGTTTTCTGAACTGAATTCTGATTCCAGGAAGCGTAGAAACTGTTCCCGTCCCACCTGGTCCTTCAACATCTCGTCGAAAGAGAAGCCCCATCTCTTTACTCGCTGCTGGCTGGGCTCTTTGCTTTTGGGGGGAAACAAAGGTTTAAAAAGTGATCAATATCAGGCAAAAACCCCTGTCACATTCTCTCCAGCAAGTCAAATCTATTTTGCTGCTGCACGCCAAAAAGAAATCCCACAAATTTAAGTGACAGTACAAACTCTAATTGTAGACTTCTGTATACCAACATCAGCCAGTGGTAAAAAGTCTCTTTAAGGAAGGCATTTAGGGTAGGTTCACCAGGAGGCATGCTGACTGGCTCCTGTCCACAGGAGGTACAACCCCACTGATTTGGCTTCCCTGGACATTCCTGTCAGTGATTGGCCTAACTCTTGACTCCATCATTTTTTTTTTTTTTTAAATAACTGAGGATGCCTTGTGAATCCAACCACTCATCAGAGACAATGTCCCCACCTCTCACCCCTTCCTCAACCCACTGGGAAGAAACAGAGCCCTGTTCAGATCCGAGTGATGTGTCATTGTTCAGAAATGAAACAACTCATCTAGGATAAAACCTGCTCACTCATTCAGAAGCAGGATGCTGTGTTCATTTATCAATTTTAACAACCACCTGCTCATGGTGCTTATGATGTTCTAGGAATTTCACATCTGTTAACTCACTGAACCCTCACAACTACTCTGTAAAGCACGTACTGGCCTCACCCCATTTGGCAGATAGGGAAACTGAGGCCTCATGATAATTTGCCCAAGGACACTAAGGACGTCAAGTCTCAAGTTCAGACAGTGTGGCTCCAGAGTGCAGCTCCTAACTCTGTGTGGGCATCACATCCACGTGACCCTCCTCAGACCCATGTGGTATGGGCAGGGAGGTTTGGAGGGAGAAAGATGCTGGTCTTATTCTTTTGGTTTGGAAAGATGCAAATATTTCCTTCAATTCTGTCTTTCCATTTACACTTCACTTGCCGTATTTATTCCCCTGACCCTTTAAGAAGCAGTAGAGTCCTAGTTCACAAGTCACATGCTGGAATCTCCCAAAGAGGGGTCTGTGGACTTGTGGGGAATGCCACACAATCTCAGACTCATGGGATCAGAATCCGCAGGGTAATAAGATCCCTGGAGATCTAAGTTAAACTCTGAGAGGCATTGCTCTAGCAATACTTATTTTTCCTCTTTTAAAATATTGACATTTGCTTTTCATTATTTCTAACAGACATTAAGTCAATAAAATCATTTCCTTGTGTTATGGGGTTGACATAGTCTCAATATTTATTTTAGAAAATTACACGTAGTAAAGGAGAACAAAAGCATGTGTGTTGAAAGGTTTGGAACAACAAGTAGCCCCAGACCAGCACTGCCAATTGAACTTTCCGTGATGATGGAAATATACTATGTCTGTGTTCTCCGGTACGTAGCCACTAGGCACACGTGGTTCTTGAGAACTTGGGTAGTGTGACCAAAAAGCTGAATATTTAACTTTAAATGATTAAAGTTCAAATAGAAGTGGCCGCATGTGGCTAGTGGCTACTGTTTTGGAAAGCACGGCTCTGGACTTGCGCAATTCAAGCCCAACCCTTTGTTTCTGCACTAGACATAACCAGCAGCAGCAGGACTGTCTAATTCTGAAATTATGTGCTTGGACACGGGATGCCTCTGTGCACAGCTCTGCATCTCTAGGCTTAGCCCAGCGGAGTCAGAGGAGAAGACTAAGTTGACCAGGTGACCCACTGGGAATTCCATAGAAGATCTCTTCCAACATGCCAGGTTGGGCTTTCTAGAACAAGCCAAGAAGACAGGTTCTGGATTCTCTCAAACTCAAGCCACAGAACCAATCCCACTCACCAGAGTTCCAGGAGACAAAAAGTACGGCTTATAAAGAAATCTCTCCTGCCCGGCCAGCATGGCTCAGTGCTTAAGTGTTGACCTGTGAACCAGGAAGTCATGGTTTAATTCCTGGTCAAGGCACACGCCTGGGTTGTGGGCTCGATCCCCAATGCAGGGCATGCAGAAGGCAGCCGATCAATAATTCTCTCTCATCACTGATGTTTTAATCTCTCCCTCGCCCTTCATCTCTGAAATCAATTTAAAAATCTATTGAAAAAAAGATCCCCCTAGGGTTGACGCTAGCAGCAAATGTAAGCCCCACAGAGCTGCAGGATATTGTCTCTTTCTGCCAGGGTCAAGTTGTTGCCTGGGATGGGCTCAAGCACCTGCTCTTTGCCTGCCAAGGTCGCAGGGTCTGCATGGATGGTGCCGGTGGCAGCTGCATCCTCGTCAAAGGCTGTGCCTGAGGGCTAGGTGTTGAAAGTCTCTGTGTTTGTAGTGATTGCCTCTTGGACATATTCTCACCACCTGTGCCTCTACTTTCTGGAACTCAATCTAGGAGTCCTCACTCCCTCCATCAGGTTCATTGGTGGTGGCAGGGTTGGAAGAAAGGCCATTTGTGGGATGGGCCAGAAAGCTTGGGTATCATGCTAGATGGAGAATCAGAGGCCTAGCACAGAGGTTGGGATGTCCAGAAAGCTGTAAAGTCAGCCTTCAGCAGAAACAAGGACGTCTGGAGAGACGGGATACCCTCCTGTGATAGTTTCCTAGGGCTGTTGTAACAAAGGACCAACAACCTGGCTTTAGAGAGTAGAAAATTATTCTCTCACAGTTCTGGAGGCTAGAAGTCTGAAACCAAGGTGTTGGCAGGCTCATGCTTTCTCTGGAGGCTGTTAGCTTCTGGTGTGGCCAGCAATACATGGCATCCTGGGCTTGCACATGCATCATTCAGTCTCTGCCTTCATCCTCATGTGGTATCCTCCCTGTGCATCTGTGTCCCTGTTTGCTCTTCTTACAAAGACACAGTCATACTGGAGCAGGAGCCTACTCTATTTCACTGTGGCCTCATCTTCACTGTTTGCATGGCAACAGCTCTATTTTTCAACAAAGTCATATTTGGAGGTTCTGGGAAGGACATGAATTTTTGGGGTGACACTATTCAGCCTAGAACATCAACTATCCATTATTCACAATCAACCCTTTTTCTATACCTGGATGCAAGTCCATCTAGCCATTGGAATCTAGTCCATTAAAAGCTTTTGGGATAAAACTTCTCTAGATGTGTGTTGCTGGCATTACTTGAGTATTTCCCAACATCTTCCCCTTTAAGGTTCAAGAACAGATCTGAACATGTTGCTACTACTGAATGATCTCTGTGGTTATAAAATAATTCTGAAAATTATTCCCAGGTGACTGGTACAATAACTCTTTCTTGGCCCAATTCAAACAAATAATCACCGGAACTCACAGCCCCTTTTATTTCCATCCATTGTACAGAAATGCTTCCTTATGCAATGTTTTTATTATGGTTCTGTATCATCATTTGGCTGTTTAAGGGTTTATATTCAGCTATCGCTTGAGCCCTTGGAGGGCAGAAACCATGTGTTGTGTGCCTTTGATTCATTACCATGCTTTTTACACAGCAAGTCCAACACTGGGAAGAAATCAGTAAGACGATGTGTATAGTGACGTGGGTGATGTGACATTATCCTGAAGGTATTTTCTACTTGCTACCTAAATATCTTTTTCTAGCCCCCGATCTCCCCAAATTCCTGACTCCCACTGAGGAGCTCAAACCAACACATAGCAAAGACAGGTGGCTCTCCAAAGGATTCCAGCTCTCATTACCGCTGATCTACGAACTCAGAACGTAGCACATAGTAGGTTCACAAAATAGATTTGTTGCATTAAACTAAGAAGAAGAAAAAAAGCTTATATTACTGGTCATCTCTAGCCTTTATTTCATGGATGGGAACCATGGACAGGTTGAATTGGGATGTTGTCCTTGATCCCTAATTGTGCTCTTCCAAAGACAGGTCCCCAGCCGCTGCCAGCATTAGTGTGTCTGGGGATGTCCAGTGGGGAGAAGAAACAGGCCTCCACAGGCTCTCTTCACATTCACATGTATCTCAATAACCTGCTTCTGCTTGAAGGTGGACAGAACGCTGTAGGTGTTAGGCTAGGCATCGAGATTAGAGTAGAAATCTCAACAATAAGAGCAGAACCAGAGCACTAGTTATAGGGACAGGGGGCACCCACCTGGGGACAGAGCTCTGATAAGCTATAATAAACCAACAGGTCAGGTGGCCACCATTTCCCCAAACTATCACATGCTTCTTCATTGACTTTCAAGAAAGAAGGAGGAAATCCCAGGGTTATTATCGGGAACTAAGTTCATGTATTCATCTCTCCTCCTTTCCCAAATAACCAATGAAGTGACCAAATAAATAGTCACTTTTCTGTCTATCCTCCACCAAATCTATACTTTTTGAATGCCTACTGTGTGCCTGATCTGGGTCTAGGTGCTAAAATAATTTTAAGTCCTAAAGTGCTATTTAGGAAGAGAATTGGGAGGGAGAGAAGGGGATGAAGTCATATGGAATGACTGGGAGGAAGGGGTGGTTACTCTAAATGGAGTGGTCACAGAAGAGCTTTCTGAGGAAGGGACACCAATGCTGAGTGAGACTCTGTGAACCGCACCAGGAATTTTCAGATTGTTCTGTGCTTCAGAATTGCCAGGGAAGCTTGCTGAAAACAGACCCCCAGCACATCTGTATTTTTAATGAGCACCCTGGGTGATTCTAATGTGCCCTGTATTTTGAGAACTAGCGACCCACACAATTGCTGAGGGAGCCCTCACCAGCTTCTGACATAGTCCATCTGAACCAGGGCTGCACGTTGGAATCACTTGGGAGGATGTAAAACAAAACAAAAACCAATGCCTCATTTCCAGAAATTCTGAGTTAATTGGTCTGGGGTGGAAAGTAGGTACTGGCATGTAAAAAAAAAAAATGCTCCAGGTGATTCTAATTTATGGCCCAAACTGAAAGCTAAGTCCTTCAGTCTCCCAAATTGCTGGGTATGTACAAAGACTTATGTGCTCTGAACAGGGATCGGCATGATGGAACATGGACTGGAAATAGCACTTCTCCAATCAACGACCCCTGCAAAACAGGCTGAGCTGCAGAAATTGAGGAGAAATGTGAAAAAACAAATAAATCCCAAAACACATCTGACCGTCAGGGGATCTCAATGGAACAGAGCAGGCTACTAAGTAAAGGGAGCCAAAGAAATGTTAGGAATTCCCAGAAATGAAAAGAGCAGGATTGTCATCACCCCTCCCAACACTCAGTAGGAAAAGAAAAACTCAGGAAAATATGAAATCACAGAGTGGACATAATTGAAAACAAAATGTGACTCTGAAGAGTGAGTCAAGGAATTCTATTCTTGAAGAGAGAATAACAAGGGTAATAGAGGAAAGATAAGAATAGCTGCTCCATCGAGAGGCCTAGAATTCCTACAAAAAGATTTCCTGAAAAGAGAGGACAGAATGGAAAAAAGAGTACCAGTGATTTAAAAAATGGAAAAAAAGAACACCAACCTGTTAAAAAGATTTAAGTTCTTGGATAAGATTAAAAGGAACAGTCTAGGGCCGTGGTTGGCAAACTGTGGCTCTCGAGCCACATGTGGTTCTTTGGCCCTTTGAGTGTGGCTCTTCCACAAAAAACCACAGCCTGGGCTAGTCTATTTTGAAGAAGTGGGGTTAGAAGAAATTTACGTTTAAAAAGTTTGGCTCTCAAAAGTAATTTCAATCGTTGTACTGTTGATATTTGGCTCTGTTGACTAATGAGTTTGCCGACCACTGGTCCAGGACATGTTTATTTATTTAAAAGGCAGGTCCAAAGAACTTCAAATGTATTTATGTTCCAACAAGTTAGTAGCTACTGAAAGTACATATAAGTTGGAAGAACAATGAATATATTTGCTTAATTCTTATATAAACACATGTGCGTTGTTGAACACTGCACATCTTCTCAAACTTTGGAGTCAGATTGGACCTCACCACCCTCATTTCCTGCTCCATGTTGATTTTTGTACAGCACTTGCTTTTTATTACAGCCAACTGCTCTGAAAACCCAGATTTGCAAACCCTAGAGGGAATGGAATGGGCTCTAATGTTGAAAACAGTGAACAACTTTAACAACCTTAACTAATAGTTGATGCAGCATCTGACATCTGTCACACGTCATTTCGTTTCCCGCAGGGGCTCAGGGTACACTGATGCAGTTTGGGAACCACGGCATTAGACAATAAACAAAGTTCTTTCTAGAAAATGACATGGGTTCGAGGAAGAGAGATTTTCTTTATTGTGTATGTCTGACTAGTTTAAGCATCTATATATATAAAAGGCTAATATGCAAAGTGTCCCTTTGGGAGTTTGACCAGAGAATGGGTGTTTGACTGCTTGCTATGATGTGCAATGATCACCAGGGGGTGGCACAGAACATGACAAGTGACCAGTGGCAGAGGTGGGACACTGAGGGAGTGAGGGAAAGAAGAGGCAGGGAGGCAGGGAACCTGATCAACTCTGATCACTGGCCAGGCCTAGGGACTCTACCTGTGCATGAATTTCATGCACTGGGCTTCTAGTTTTATAATAAACACCTATGACTCATTACTTTTTATAAGTTTTTTCCATTTTAAGAATTCAGAAACAGAACAAGAGTGGAAGCGAATGACAGAGATATAAAGAAATGAAGAACAGGGGCTGAGGGTGCCCAGGCATCCACACCAGATCTGTCCAGGTCTCTCCTTTTGCAACTGTGGATATGGGCCAAGTCCCTCTGGGCTTCAGCTCCTCAGCCATTAAGCAAACACACTAGCTTTCCTCAGGAGCGAGAAGCTACTGGATGGAGTCACTTCTGTCAGGTACTCCACAGAAACAATGGTGAAAACCACAGCTTGAAGCCCTTCGCCTGGGGTCCAATCCTCATTCTGCCACCTGCTTGCTGCGTGACTTTGAGCAAGTTCACTAACTCCTCTGTGCCTCAGTTTGCTCATCTATGCAATGGTGAAAATAGTAATGTTTACTTGTGAGATCCCATGTAAGACACTTAGTATATTATTACTGTTGCTACTGCCTAATATATATATGCCTTCCTCTGGCATGGTCAGAGAGAGGTCAGAGGGAAGGCACAAAGGATCCATGTACAAGCCAAGCTATAAGGAGAGAGAAACCACTTGGTGGTGAGGTTACTTGAGGTTTCTATTCAAGTGATAAATCTCATAACCTCACACATTTTCCCACATCTCTCTCATTCCCAAACATTAAAACTTTTTTTTTTTTTTTTTTTTTTTACCTCATCTCTATGTCCCATAAAGTGACATCGTCACTGATCCAGGGATTGGACGGCTCGGCTGGTGTTACCATAGGATCGTATTCCACATACTGTTCCGTGTAAGCAATTAAGCTGCAGGAGGGAAGCAGAGCAGAGAACACCATTGAGTTCCAGTAAAAACTTTTATTCTGTTTTACACAAACATTGTATCAATCTCAATATAATTCCACATTAAAGGGAAAAAATTACCACCCCTCCCACTTTGGACAAATTGAACTGTTTTCCTTTGCCCTCACATGCTGTGGAGCTAACTAGCATATTCCTTTTTTCAAGTGTCCCTACAAATCTCTAAAACATTCAGTAATCATTTCCCCATATCTTAATCAATGCGCTGTCTCCCTGTCACCAGAGTTTTGAGTCCTCTTGCTCCAACCTGGACTGTTTGCCCTGTAGGTTCCAGGCAAAATCATCATCCTGGGCCTCCTTCACTCTGTGTTGAAGCCCTTGTTTCCTGGGTCCCAGGTCTGTTGGTTCTCCTCCCTGGTCGTGTGGAAGCACCGCCTTTTGCTTTATCTCGATACTTGACTGATAGCACTGGACATGGAGCCCAGAGTTAGAAATCATTTTCTTTCAGAGTTCTGAAGGCTTTGCTCACATTTCTATTTATTTGTTTTGGTGTTCAGTGCTACTATTGAGAAGTCTGGATCCATTTGGATTCTAGACAGTTTCTTTTCTCTCTGGAAACTTAGCATCTTATCTTTTCTGCTGTAGTCCTCTGAAATTTCACCATGGCCTTTGCTGGCTGTTTTTCTTTACTGTGCTGGGCACAATGTACAATATATTTCTCATAAGTGTTATTTTCTTTTTGCTAATGTCATACCATTTATTTTTCTGTTCTATAATTCTTTTTAAAAAATATATATTTTATTGATTTTTTTTTTTTTAACAGAGATTTAGGGAGAGGGATAGAGAGCCAGAAATGTCGATGAGAGAGAAACATTGACCAGCTGCCTCCTGCACACCCCCTAGTGGGGATGTGCCTGCAACCAATGTACATGCCCTTGACAGGAATCGAACCTGGGACCTTTCAGTCTGCAGACCGATGCTCTATCCACTGAGCCAAACCGGTTTCGGCTGTTCTTAATTCTTTAAAAACATTTTTATTTTATTTTATTTTTAGAGAGAAAAAGGAAGGGAGAGGGATATAGAAACATTGATGAGAGGAATATTCTCAATCAGCTGCCTCCTGCACACCCCCTACTGGGGTCTGAGTACATGACCCAGGCATGTGCCCTGACCAGGGAATTGAACCAGCAACCTCTTGGTTCATGGGTTGATACTCACCCTGGCTGGGCTGTATAATTCTTGTTAGTTAAATGTCGGACATTTGAATTGATTGATAATCTAATTTTCCCTCCCATTTTTCATTTTTTTTGGTCTTTTTGTTTGACAAAAAACCTGATGTAGTTCCAATTTTTTCCTTTCTTTATTTTAATTTGAGCTACTATTTTCTTAAGTTTCCAGAGTTCACTCTTGTTTATCATAGTATCTGGTTCTTATTTTATGGGTGGACTATCTTCTCATATGTCTGGAATATTAATACTATATTTTTATTTTCAGTTTCTTGAATAGTTTTTGGTTCTTCTGGGTCCCTTTTTTGTTTGATTACACTCCTCACATAGGGGTTTTTCTTGAGCATCTGGCAAACCTCTGGACATCCATTTGTCCTTCAGCGTGAGGTACTGAAACCTGCTTGGAGGCAGAGTGTGTATGTGGACAGGACCTGCCGACCGATGGGCTTCATGCTTGGGTCACTGGGCAGCTTGCCAGTCTTTTCACTAGTGCTCCAACAAGGGATCTGGCATCTGTCTTCTTGCGACACCCATTTTTCTCTAGAACAGGGGTAGGCCAACTTTTTATGGAAGACCCTGATAATAAATATTTTAGGCTTTGTGGGGCAGATGGTGTCTGCTGCAACAACTACTCAGCTCTTTTTGTAGCCATTTTTTTTTTAAGGAAGAGAAAGGGAGAGGACACACACACACACACACACACACACACACACATTGATGTGACTAAAATATTAATCTGCTGCCTTCTAGGCATGTGTCCTGCTTTGGAATCAAACCAGCAAGCTTTGAATGAATGCATGTGACTCTTTTCCAATGAAACTGTTTTTGCAAAACCAGGGAGTGGAGTGGATTTGGCCCACAGGTTGTAGTTTGCCAGTCTCTTGACGGTGGGAGTATACATCTGGCTCCTGGAGGGCTAAAAGCAGGACAGGGGAGGGTTCGAGAGTCTCATAGACCTTTTATTAATTGTCCTGTACTCAACTGTCCCTCTATGATGTGATGACTTGAGCTGATGTGGCTCAGTTTCTCCAATAAACTGCCATCCCCCGATGGGCAGGGATCTAGCAATCCAAAGGCTCCAGAGACAGGCTTTACCCATCCTGATGGGTCAGCCCTCCGCCTCATTCTTGCTTTCCATTGTCCTTGTGCCTTTAAGAGCAAGGCCACATTCTGTTGGGCAAACTTGCTCACTTTGTTATAAAAGTCACACCCCTAACACACAGGTAGGTTATAATGGTCTTCACTTGGTCCCTGTACACTTGAAAAATTAAATTTAGAAATATTTCAGGCATACAGAAAGTCATAAAAGTAAAGGTAAAAAAAAAGGTAATTGAACTCATCACCCAATTAAAGAAGTAAAACATTACAAATAGAGGAAGAGTCCTGAGGTTATTAATGCTCCCCAATTCCTTAGATTTTTAGTCTTCAACAAATTGGCTGAAACCATTAATTCAATGATTTGTTGACTTTGAGTTCATGCCATTTTTATTCATTCATTGAAATGTTGCTTTTGGGGAGGGAGAGAAGAGAAACATATGTCTACAATGTCGTCTTGAATTTATTATGATTTATATAATAATTTCCTTTACAGTAGACACAGACTTTTAATTTCTTTAGTATATATAGTGCTATAGCAACACACCATTATCCACAGTGGGTTTTCCATTTTCTGGGTTACTGAGAATTGACATTTACCAGTAGAATTATTTGTGCCAAAGGTATGGATCTTTTTATGCTTATTGATCCATGTAGGGGACAAAAACTTTTTCTAAGCCCTGCCAACTCGAGTTTTCTCTACAATGGACAATTCAGTGAGGGATGGCTTAAAGTGATTAGTCAATGGTAAAGGAGGCAAGGATGTAAAGCATCATGGAAGAGTGACCATCATTCCTATTTTTAAAAAAAAAAAAATTTTATTGATTTTTCACAGAGAGGAAGAGAGAGGGATAGAGAGTTAGAAACATCGATGAGAGAGAATCATCGATCAGCTGCCTCTTGCACACCCCTACTGGAGATGTGCCCGCAACCAAGGTACATGCGCTTGACCGGAATCGAACCCGGGAACTTTCAGTCCGCAGGCCGACGCTCTATCCACTGAGCCAAACCAGTCCCGGCCATCATTCCTATTTTTTAAAAGATATATTTTTGTTGATTTTAGAGGGGTAGGGAGAGAGAGAGATAGAAACACCAATGATGAGAGAATCATTGGTTGGCTATCTCCTGCACACCCCCCAGTGCAGACTGAGCCTGTAACCTAGGCATGTGCCCTTGATCTGAATCAAACCCAGGAACCTTCAGTCCACAGGCCTACACCTTTATCCAATGAGCCAAACAGGCTAGGACCATCATTCCTATTTTGGAAACATAATGAAAATGTACTGAAACACCCATTAGAAAATCAGGGCCTCTGAATGTGAAGGAGCCTGGGAGCCGCATGCGGAAAGGGGTGAACAGGAGTGTATATTAGCTCCCCTTTCGCTATGTGCAGTTTCTGAATGATGATGCACAAACGGAAACCGGACAGGAAGAGTGTCTGAGTAGAAAGGGAAGTGAAAAGTAGAGCAGCATCGCAGAGAGTGAAGAAGAAAGCATCAATTCATTAACCTAATGTGTTTTTCAAGGTGCAGGAGGTGGGGGAGGGAGAGACTATAAAGAGAGAATTCCTTAATTGCAGGTCACTCTGAGAAAATATGATCAATAGGGAATCTCAGAATGAGTGGAGTGGAGGGGATGTGAAGGTGAATTTAGCCCCTGGGAAAGGAGAGCATATGCCAGGTCAGGCACCGCAGCCCTTCTAGGTCATGATCTGAATACAACCACCTGGCTGTATGTTACCTCTCACCCTTTCTTTTCTGGCACCTAAGATGGGCTGGAAGCAAAGAGAAACAAGGACCCCGCAGTGTCTGGAATCACATAAAAGCCAAGTTGTAATGATCTCTTTGGCTCCTTTTTTTCCTGCCCCAAAACTATCATTAGACATTAAGTTGGTATCACTCTAGCAGGTTTTGAATAGATCCTTAGGGCATGCAGCCCCTTGCTATCTTATCTCATTTTATTAATCACACTTAGCGATTACAAAGGGGCAGGAGGCAGAGGAGGAACCAGCATCCAATTTCAGGGAACAGTAGCGATCTGGAGATGGGCAAGGTGATGATAAAAAATCAATTCAGCCATAGGCTGAGATGCACAAATGGCTCCAGGGTAGGGCAAGAACGAGCCAAGCCCAAGAGTGGATCTACAAGGTCACAGCTTGATCTGTCTGTGGGTGGCAGCGTGGTGGTGTGACTCCTGCAGTGACCTGCTCGGTGCTCCGAGAGGTGGGGAGAAGTCTCTGGGGACACCCAGCAAAACGCAGACGCTCCAGAATATTTGGAACTAAAATGTGGATTTGAGCATTCCCAAAGTTGGTTTGTTGAGTATGATAAGGCTTAGGTGAATACAAAAGGGGCCCCTTGAGAACTCTGAAGAAGAGTAAGACCTCCTTTACTTGGCAACTTAAACTATTGAGAGAACATAGGCGAGATAAATGACCAGAAGGGCCTCTTTCTACAATGAAACACTCTATGCCTTGAGGCTTCGGAAGAAGATATCTCTCAGAGAAAATTCTTGCATCAGGACCAAGGCTAAGGAACTTAGTTATTTGATTTCCTTAGTGTGGTAGATCAATAAGAAAGAATGAAATCTGTTTTCCTAATCCTAGAATCTGGTCTAGGCTTGTGACTTGTTTTAGCTCCGTGGTTGGCAAACTTTGGCATACATGAGGCTCTTTGGCCTCTTGAGTGTGGTTCTTCCATAAAATACCACGACCTGGGAGAGTCTATTTTGAAGAACTAGCATTAGAAGAAGTTTAAGTTTAAAAACTTTGTCTCTCAAAAGAAATTTCAATTGTTGTACTGTTGATATTTGGCTCTGTTGACTAATGAGTTTGCCAACCACTGTTTTAGCCAATAGAATGCAGCACACTCTCAAGAGGCTAGATGCTTCTGCTCTCTCTCTTGGAATCCTGCTATCTGAATATGAGCAAGGTCAGGTTAGCCTGCTGGAGGATGAGGACATGTGAGGAGACCCCAGTAGTCCCAGCTGAAGACATTTTGTGTGTGTGTGTGTGTTTGTGTGTGTGTGTGTGTGTGTGTGTGTGTGTGTGTGTGTGTGTGAGTTTTGGTCATCTATGTTTTTAAAAAAAATCTTTATTATTGAAAATATTACATATGTCCCCTTTTTTCTCCTATTGATCCCTTGTAGCCTGCTCTTGCTCTCTGCCCCAGGCCTCCACCACCCTATTCCCTATGTCCATTGGCTATGCATATATGAATATAAGCTCTTTGGTTGGCCTCTTCCCATCTATCTATCCACCCCTGCCTTCCCTCTGAAATTCAACAATCTGTTCCATGCTTTTATGTCTCTGGATCTATTTTGCCCAACAGTTTATTTTGTTAAGATCATTCTTAACCAACTGAAATCAAACATGTGAGAGAGCTCAGTCAAGATCACTGAGCTGCCCACACATACACACATACACCAGGGGGAGATCATTGGTGTCTAACAGAGGCAGTTAGCCCACAGACACATGAGCAGCAGTAAATTGCCTGTTGTTTGAAGCCACTATGTTTTTGAGGTGATTTGTTACACAGCAACAGCTAACTGGTAGACCTGGTTTGTTATGGATTGGAAATGGGAATTGGTAAGGGAGGAGGAAGGAGTACTGGAGACAAGTATGTTGACAGGAACAAGAAAACAAACCAACCACTAAAAAGCAGAAACAGAGACTCAAAGCATATAATGGCCAGAGGCTGTTTAGGAAAAGGGAAGCAGCTTGTGGCATTTTCTGAGACCCTGACCACTGACGGACTTTTCAAGTATATATAAGAACATGGAATCTGAAATGTGTGTCCTTTTTTAAGAAGGCAAGGGCATGAACCATATTGAAGACAGTCTCATTTAAAATTGTTAAAACAAAAAGGTGAAGGTGTTAGGCATCATTTACCCAGAGAATTCATTTGTATGTGTGGGGACCGTACTTTCTGAAGCAAAAAAATTAGGTACCATCTCAGACTGGCTTTTGTACTGTTGCCAAGAGTAAAAGGCAGCCTAGGACATCTGGTTTGGTTGCCACGATGTTGGCGTTTCAGGCACAGTCAACCACTCATGGGGACAATGGGACGATAGCTGAACCTGAGATGACCTGAGAAAACCTGTGCAGAAGAGCCAGCCTCTTCATGCAGGGCCCCACCCTCCCAAAGGTACCTGTTATTGGTGCCTTAGGAGGCAGCCCAGGGGGACAGACCTGTGGACGGCAGGGACAGCTTTAGGCACTACGCAGGGCTCTCTGCTTAGGAGCGGGAGAAGCAAGAGGGAGGGAGGAACTACATCAGCACAAAACGGCCACCTGCAGGGCCAGCCTCACTCCTTGGCCTGCCCTGTTGGTTCCTCTGAACACCACACCACACATTCCATCTCATGAACTTGAGTTAGCTCCTTTCCAAAGCACCGTCTACCACACACTGGAAAATAACAATAATCACTCACATTCACTGTATGTGTACCAAGTGCCAAGGCCTGGACCTAGCTCACACCATGGATTCACTCATTAACCTTATACATGAAGTACTACTGCTCTCTCCCCTTTAAAGACACAGGATCCAAACCCAGTGGCTGGTTCTACCCCCCTCCCCCCCCAACATTGTTCTGTTTTGCCCTTCGGTTTGCAAAGTTCCCCTTATTCCCTCCCTTCCTGGCCTGGCTGCACCCTTTGACCCAGCCTTGACTCCCGGCCTTTTTAGAACTGGACTTTCACCATCACCTCCCCCAACATCAGCGCTCAGGGAACTAAGTGAAAAAACAGGCCACCTGTTCTCAAGGGGAAGAGGGCCTTTGCCTGGTGGCTTCTGGCCAATCAGCAAGGCTCATGGGGAGCAGGCCCAGGAGAGCAGATCTGGTGGGATGTGCGCGCCCACCTGAGATAGCTCAGCTTTCACCTGTTGTGAGCCAGCAGGCACACCCAAGGCCAGCTGCCAGCACCTCCCCCTGCCTCCCACCTCTGGGCTCCAGGCAGCTTTATCTCCTGCTAACACCCGCTCCTCTCCCTCCTCCTCACTATCTGGGCGTTTCCTTGTGGCTCTAATGAAAAACCCTTGTGTCACATTGAAAAGTCGCCAGTTATTGCTGCTGGGAATAAAATCCAGTCTCTGCTGGGCGGAAACACGGGAAAGCTACCGACTGTGGAGGGAGGAGTGGCTGGCTGGAATAATCTCTTCAAGGTGAGCGGCCTCTCTGGCAGAATGAGAGGGCACCAGGTGGGCCCCTCCCCGGCAGCCTGAAAACAAACAAACAATGGGCCCTGCCAGGCTCCCCTCCCCTGGCTGTCTCTCTTCCCTCAGCAGCACTCCAGCTGAGTGAGAGCCTGCCCCAGGCAGACGGTTTAGGCTCTTTCCTCACCCACAGGCAAGGACAGAGCTGAGAGTCCCTTCTGAGGTGAACTCTCAGGTCAGTCTGAGTGGTGGACAATGGCTTCACCGAATCCCCAGAGCCCGGTCAGTCCACATGCACATTATTCAAAATGCAGGTTCCTTATAGCTACCTGGAACCATTGAGTCTGAATCCCCAGACCGAGGGTTTGGGGATCTCCATTGGTCACCCCTCATCCCCACCTGGATCATCGTGCTCAGAATTCTTGGGCCCAAGCAACTGACCCTCAGGAAAGGTGCTCCCCCACACACTCTCCTGGGGTTGCAGACTGTGAAGGGCCCTGTGAAGGCCAGGCATTGTGAGCACCGACCCTCCCCTCATGCCAGGACTGCCATTCCTGTCCTTGTCCACAGACAAAGAGGCTCCTGTTCTCACACCAAGGAATCGAGGCCACCCCAGCTGTGCCGCTCACTCACCAGGACTCACAACCACAGCGAGATGGAAGAAGCAGAGGCAGCGGCCACGGCCACTCCAGCACAATTGTGCGGCCTCTTTCTGAAGCATGTGCATCAGTGATTCTCAGCAGGATTGATTTTGCCCTCCCAGGGGACTGCAGACATGCTTGGTTGTCACATCCGTGAGGTGGGGTTTGGCATTTAGTGGACAAGGGTCAGGGATGCTGCTGAATCCTATACAATAAAAGCCTAATATGCAAATAAACCAAATAGCTGAATGACCAGGTTGGTGGGGGGCAGGACCAGCGAGTGGGTGGCACCAGGCAGAACAAGGCTGATACCAGCGGGCAGAGAGAGGGAATGGTGATGGGGGGGAGCAGTGGTGACCAGTGGGGGAGGAATGATGGGGTGTGGGGCCGGCGGGTCACTGGCCTGCCAGCTCCTGACTTGTCTTGTTGGTTGCAGAGGGCGATGGTGGGGGAGGGAGAGTCAGGGCTGGAGCTGCCCCCTGGAGGTCAGTGCATTTCCACAGGAGGATCCTTCTCAGCCACAAGCCGGGCTGATGGCTGGTGAGTGCAGTGGTGGTGGCAGAGCCTCTTCCACCTCACTTCTGAGACAGTGCTAAAGATATCCCCCGAGGGCTCCTGGACTTCGGAGGGCACATGTGGGGCTGAGGGACCCCCTGCCTCACAGGCCCCCAGTGTATAAATTTTCATGCACCGGGCCTCTAGTATCCTATAATGCACATGACAGCCCCCTGCAACGAAGAATCTTCAGCTCAGACCATCAATAGTGACACTATTGAGAACCTGGGAGGAATCCAAGATGCCATCAGAGACATGAACCCTGGTCCAGGGTTGTCCCTGGCCAGGTGAAGGCTGGGCGCTCATGCAGGTGTTGGGTTTGGGAGTAAGGTGTTCTTAGTCTCAGTTTGTTATTTATCTAGAAGGAAGGGATCACTGGAGAGAGGCTTACAGGTTGACCACACACCCAGCCCCCTGTGTGAGCTGGGCTTAGAGACCCAATTTACTTTGATATCCAGCAAATACCAGGATCCAGCATATGCCCTTGAAGCTTCAGATATCGGCCGTTGCTTTGACCTTAGCCCGTCGACAAAAAGATGTTCAGTTTGCCAGCTGCCTGATCAGATTTACTCGATACAGATTCCCCGGGTGGTCTCCCCTCTTCACTGAGAGTTCAAAAACAGACCATTTAGTTGACAAAATTGAGTCTCCGGTGAGTTAACGGAGTGGAACCAGCTCCTGGGGCAGACAGACCGGAGCACAAATGCTGCTGCGGAGCCAGGCTGAAGGTGCCAGTGTGTTCTTTACAGCCGATTCGATGCAGTTCAGTGGTTGATAGTGTGTGGAGGCGGAACGCCTCCCCATGGTGCAGTCCCCTCCTGTTTGCTCGGCGAGCACACAATCTCTTTCCCCTATAAAGTGAATCTGGGCATTTTACAGCTGAAAAGGGAGCCATTCCGTTTAAATTAATCAAGGGACTGAAGGCCAAGGTGCAGTATGCAGCTTTTAAGGACGTTGACCTTGATTGACAAGGTCCCGTGGCCCCCCCTGGAAAGCTTTAGCCACAGAACATTTCTTGACATCACTCAGGGGAGTCTGCCATCTCAGCTGTCCTCACCTGGGCCTGTGGTGTTCCCCCCATCACTTAAGGGATGCCTATGGTCTGCCTCTTGGCATGGCACATGCTTATTGGCCATGACCCTGTAACATGTCCCCTTCGTTACATCAGAAGAAAACAGTCATTTCACTGAGGGGCACCTACCTTTCAGCCACTTTGGACATTTTTAAACAATGCCTGTCAATCTGTGCGTTCAAAAACGTTATCTGGGGAAAGACAGAACAGAGGTGTAAGGACCAAACTAGAATTTTCTCCCCCACTTTCACCCTGGGAACCCAAATCCCGTGTTTCTCTCAAGATCCCAACACCTGCTCTGGATAGACTTCAACCCTCCAGCAACTATTTGCCTTTTTGAGAATTCTTACTGCCATTGGGATTTGCGATTTAGCCCACGTCATACGTTCTCCAGCACTGTGCTGTAGTTTAGGTCTGGATTCCCAAAAGTGATTGCAAACTTAAAGGCAGTAAGTATATGCTTTACAAAGCTTAGCAGCAGCATGGACAGGTAACACACACACCGTGATACCTGGCTGGACTAATCTCCAGTTATCCCCCTATGCACACTTTTATACTCGCATCACCCCCATGTGCTCAGCATTCTTGACTAGAATCATCCGATAGCTATTTCACATATATCTCTTTCCTCTTCCCCCAGCAATAACAAACTTGTCAAAGGCAGGTACCTAAGAGTTACATTCCTCCTTGGGGTTCCCCGACCCTGGAAATAAAGCATAATGTAAGGAGTAGATTCTGAAGTTACTTCATTACCAGTGCACCCCAGAAAGGAGTAATGTAACTAGCCACTGTCTCCTGACTTGGGTTGAGCAGGTAACTCCTCATCATGAAGTAAGAATAACACTGAAAAGGCTTTGGGAGTGGAGCTTGCTTTTATAAACTTTCCGTTTGTATCACAGAGGTCAGTGGTCCCAGACCAGTGTACTCTGGAAGCACATTGCAATTTTAAGGACCTTGTAATGTGCCTCCCTCCCCGCTCCAGCTCCTGTGGGAGACCCGACTATGGCAGTCTCCTTCAGTATTGGGAGGAATCATTTATGTCTTCCTATCAAACTGGAGGAACTTGGTAGAGAATTTCCCTTTGCACACAGCACTCAAAGGTTCAAACCACCCACAGCTGGTCTCCACTATGGTTTCCAGGAGCTCAAAGCTCACTCAGCTCTCAGAGGTGAACACTGAAAGGTTTCTGAACTGGCCACATCTCCTCTGGGAGGGCAGGAGGTCATTCATTCACCTGTTTCCGGATGTCCTCTTTTGTCGTTTTCCGGACTGGCTGGCTGGGGATGTGCACAGGGCTCTGGGACTGGGACTCTTCTGTCACGCCGTACACCGACTAGAGAGGAAGCAAGAAGACCGAGTCACACACTCTCAGAGCTTAAGAGGGAGTACGGGGTGAGCTGGCTCAACCACTCCTCCGATGCTCCCAGTCCCCTCTGTGACACCCCAGCAGTGAATGATCAACCTCTGCTTGAATTTCTCCAGGGATGGGAACTCTGTGCCTGAGACAGCCCTGTCCCATCCGTGTGTTACCACTGCTAGAAAGTCCTCCCTTTTATTGAGCTGAAATGGTCTCCTTGCATATCAGGAGATAGTCCTTAGACCATCTGCAAAGAATCGTCTGGGAGTACTTGGTAAGGATACACATGGACCTACGGAGTCAGCATCTTTGTGGATGGGGCTTGTGAATCTGTACATTTATCAAATGCCCCAGGTGATTCTGAGGCACGAGATAGTTTAAGAGCAAATGCTGAAGATAATGCACAGAGATCCCCTCTAGATTCTCTGATGGCCTGTAGATGACACACCCATCTAATACAAACTTGGAATAGCAGAGTTTCAGATTTTTTTGCTTTTGAGCTAAGTAGTTTTCTGGACTCAGTTTCTCCACATGCCCACAACTATGGCTGCCTTTTAAGCTGTTCCTTGCGTTAGAGATAGGTTAAAAGCACTCTTTGCATTGGGAAAGAAACAAAACCCCAAAGGTCATACCATGCACAGCTGAAATCAAGAAGGGCTCAAAGAGGGCAGAGGTAGGCTTCTGTGAAATTCTGGAATAAAATTCTATGGTAATTAGGGGGCCCTTAAAGACTAAATGAGGCCATTTGACGTTGAACACTATAAAACATGTCACAGTGGGCATCACTATCTCAGTGAACACTGAAAGGTGTAAGTGGATTCCAGAAGTTGATATATATATGTGAAAATGAGAGGATTGATTCTTCTAGGGACACATCTCTAACCTTTTGAAATTAATAGAATGGAGGACAGACATTTTCTCCCACAATATGGTCCCTGGTGCTGCTGTGAGGGTGGGATGTACCAACTGTGGGGCTGACAGAGTATGGCACCCTTAGGTGAACCATGGTCACTGCCCCTTCAGTATAGTGAACACAAGTGATCATTGGCTCATTCCCAGTTGGGCAAGATGGTGACTGGAGTTTGGATGACCTTGCAATCTATACTAAAAGACTTTCAAAGTACTAAACTGACTTTCAGCAGTGGGGTTTCCATTATACATTTTGTTCCTTTAGTTCCCTTTCCTCCAGCCTCCTCCCCATGGTCAACTGCTGTTTACCCTTAAGACCTCAGCACACTTGAGCTGGCAAGGGAAGCCCTCGGGAAGCCCTGGTCTGGCGCCCCCTCCTGGCGCTCCTGAACCATCCTGTACTTCCCCAATGCCCCCCTCCTCGCTCTGTTGTGTGTTGGCTTGTTTTGTCCCCACCAGGCCTGTGGGCTTTGTGAAGACTTATTTCAGCAGCAAGGAAAGTGCTAAGCACACACCAGCCACTCCACAAATATTTGCCAAATAAATGAATGAAATGGTTTCAAGGGACGAAATGGGGTAGAATTAACAAATAGCAAATTATTGTTTGGACAGTAGCAGAAATGAAAGGGCCATTCACATCAAGACTTTTTAATTCAGCTGAACTCTCAAACCTTTTTAACCTTTTGTGGGTTCTTCAAACGCCGACATTTTCTGATATCCATTTCTGTGGTGTTCACACAGCCTGGCTGAGAAGGAAAAAACAAACAAAAAACAACAACACATCACATACATGACCAAGTGAAAATCACCCTTCCGATTTAGCCCAAGTGACACCATCAGAGCCAATCACTCTCTTTCCCTTTACACATAATGCAACATTATCTCCACTTCGCCATTTACAATTTTTTACGAAGATGTAAACGTGTTCCTCCATAGAGTTTTCATCTGAGACATAAAAGCTTATATTATCTCAGGATGATACATAGAAAATAGAGTGTTCAGTTTGTAAGAACAAACTTATTACTCAAAGTGACAGGTCGCTTCAGTCAGAGCCCTTGTTATTGCACACATCTAACTGACTAAGTACATGCCAATATCAGGATTTGGAATTATTTCTTTAGTTTTGCTCTTCGCCAGTTTTTAGGAAGGCTGAGAGAGTTTATTCATTTTAGTTCCATTTCATGTGAAATGCAAGATTTGTTTGAATAAGATAAGATTAACAGCACAAGCATCATGGATTTTGTATTTGTGAGTTTGCCTTCTGGCTAAAACTTATTTATAGCCCCCAAATCAACACTTGTAGTGCACCCATGGCCATTCAGAGACATTTACAGAGCAACAAAAAGTTTGGGTTGTCCAATGTGCATGCTCCTGGCTGAGGTCAAATAAGGTGACATTCAGTCTTTTTGTTTAAATTTTTCATATTCTATTAATATATGATAAAGAGCTAATATGCTAATTAGACCAAATAGTAGAACGACTGACTGTCCAGACAACCTTCCTGTGTGGGCCAGCCGGGACTGCAGAGGGCTGTGAGGCCTGAGACCCTTGCATGAATTTCGTGTATGGGATCTACGTGTCCTTTTCTAGGGCTATTCAGTGTAACTATTTCTGTGTGGGTTTTTGTTGTTGTTGTTGTTGTTGTTGTTGTATTTTATTGTTTAAAATGGCCCCCAAGTGCACTGCTGAAATGCTGTCTAGTTCCTGAGTGCAAGAGGCTGTGATGCACCTATGGAGAAAATGTGTTAGATGAGCTTCATCTGGCATGAGAGTCAGTGCTGTTGGCTGTGAGTTCCATGTTGATGAATCAACAATATATAGTAAGGTGTCTTTAAACAGAAGCGTGGAATAAACAAGGTTAGACACTGATCAGTTGATGCAGTGGTCCGATGCAGTGGGTCAGCAATGGCTCAGGGTTCGCTGACTCAGTGTTTGCGGCTACCTATGGAACAGAACCATGAATAACAGGACCTGGCTGCATTTAAAATAGAATATTCTAAGATTTAGTTGAACCACAGTAAACACGAAAATTGCTTATTTTGGGTCTGTAAACTTCCTGGGGCCAAAGGTCCCAGGTGGAGTTCCCACAGCTCTCCATTTCCGATTCCATATTTCCATGATTGGATAATTTATAAAAGGTAGAACATTCCAGAAACTCTGCTGAGATTATGTGAATGAGTGGCAAAACATTCCACAAAGCTTAGCAGTGTTCTTAAGAAGGAGACATCTGGTGGCTAAAGATGGTCATTTCTCTCAAGTGAAGGAAGAAAATAAGAAAAACTTAGAGAACTGAACAGAGCTTTCTCACCACTGGCCTGTGGACATCCCAGAAGGCCCGCTCTTGACTATCCAAGATTTTCCTTTCTGTCTTGTCCTTTTTCCGGTCAATCCTGAAAGCATAAAGAAAGGAAATCAGAGACTTTTGCATTGTTTCCCCTCATTCAAGGAGCCAAGACCACACAGGACAATTGGCACCTGCGTGGCCTCTGAGCTGTAAAACGTGGGTGGACAGTTTCTTCAAGGAAACCCATGAAGTCCACACGTGAGAGAACTAGTTTTAGGTTAGACTGCGAATGTCCACCCACATGTAACAAACATTGTGGGCCTTGGGGGAGCAGGAATGCAACTGTCCCTTCAGAGGATTATGATTTGCATTAAGAATCGAATAAAACTATTGTTACGCTCCCACCCATCCAAGCGGGCACTGTGTACTCAAATCATAGGAGGGAATAACCGAGGCTTGCATTGTTTCATCCTCAAATTGGGAAGTGTGCACTAGCTTCAGAGTGGGTAGAAATGTCTTCAAAATGCTGCAATGATGTGTTTTAAGAGCCACTTAAACCAGCTGGCATTTTAAAGCAGAGTAATAGCCCTGGTGTGTGCCAGCATTCAGAAGGCAAAAACCAGGGGCTTCCACAGGGGAAGCACAAACTGCAAGAGGGAAGTTGCAGGTGACAAAGGCAGATTCTATGTTCCAAAGAGGAACATAGATAAAAGGCTTTAAAATAAAGAAAAAGCCTGTGTTACTTCACAGCATCTCTCAAAGCAGAAAGCAACTCGGAGTAATTGCCGTGTAACTCCTGGTCCTTGGCTCTCGTGGGAGCACTTTAGCTTACTGGACTGAAATAAACCTGTAATCGCCCTGTGATGTTTGTGATAAGTGTTGTGTACTTAAATGGCCCACAATTATAATGCAATCAGAGTTAATAAAAAATAATCAAGAAATGCCATATATGTACAAAGTGGCCATCTCCCCTCCTTTTATAACATTCGAAGCTGGGTGATTCTGAACGTACAAGTGAGTGTGCCTTCTTGCTTCCCAGAGGCTTCTGAGAACAAAGCTCAATTCAGCCTCCTTCTCACCCACCCTTTCACCCCCTCACCCACCCTCCCCGCTTCCTTCCTCCCCAGGGGCCTGCTTCATCCTGCTATAGCGCAGCACCCAGGGTCTGGGCCCCAGGAGGATAGCAGGAGGCTGGAATCCTGGGCGGGAGATAGGCAGAGGCTGCAGAAGGAGGGTGAGGTCCTGGCTCTGTATTGGCCACTGAACCCAATAACCATACGTATGATCAATGCTCACCCACCAATGACCATGCACGTGATCAATGCTCGCCCACTCAGCCTGAGACTTGGCCCTAGGCGATGGGCTGCAACACTGTCCAGGGACTGCAAAGCAGGTCCCCTGCAGACCCCAGAGGGGTCTCTATGTAGGTGCAAATGGTGCCCAGAGAAAAAGGACTTACCTTCTCCCAGCTCAGCATTCCTTTCCTTTCCCTCCTCTGAGTTATCTGTTTTGTGAACCCCTTGGCTAAGCCAGACCACTGCCGGAAAGAACCGGAGGGAAGCCAACCTCAGCACATCCATGTACCAGAAGTAAAAGGATCTGGCCGACGACCATGACTGTGGGCTGGGGGACACTCACTGGCCACTTCTCCTGCTTCCTTAGAGAGGAGGGATTTTCTACTCTACTCCCCGGGAGGGGAAAAATGTGGGAAAACACTCCAATTTTCCGCCTTTCATCTCTTGTCCTCCAGGGAGGGAGAGTGACATCTCACTGGAGGATTTGAAAGAAGACACTGAGAAAGCTCAGGTTGGTTCTTTATGAGCATCTGTTCTCAGATAATAAGCCAACCGGGTGGGGTTAACTCTGCCCTGGTGAGGGCGCCTACATGTGTGCAGCGATGCCAGGATGGGTGACTTTAATTCCGGGCAGAGACCCAAGGCCACTGATCTAAAGTCATGTGGTATCACTAGCTTTTAGCAGTAATAATCTGATACTTTGGATTCCAAGTGTCAGACTTCTGGGTCTTATTTTTGATTGGATCTGGATCTCTGGGGAGGGGGTTGGGAGAGGGGCTACTTGTTGACCTCCCTAAAACTCCACCATATTTTCCTATGAAAATGAAATCTCCACATCTACAGGTAAGATCAGTCTGGGGTTTTCCAGCCTCTGAGCACAGAAGAAGAATTGAAAATCTTTGGGGAATAAATACATTTTTTTATAACCAGCGTTCTAAATTTGGGAGGGACGCCATTGTCTGCTGGAATAAACATTAGACATTATTTTAGAGTGCTATGGTAACAGAGACAACCTTGATTTCCACTCAATTGCTCTCATGAGAGATGACAGTGACTGACCACCGCTGGCCAGCTGTGGAAGGAAACCTCACTCTGGCAATTCCACACCCACACCACCTCCAAATCCCAGAGACGTTCTCTCGTCACAAGGGTCTCTATTAAGTCCACCTACTTTACTTGCGCTTCTGCTTGCATAAAGATGAATTCCCACTTCCTTGCAAAGGCCCTCTGGAGTCTTGCCAAGTTTTCCTAATGAGAAATGAAAATGAATGAGAAGGCATTCATCATCGGAAGTTTGCACATCGACCCTCCATGCTTATTACAGGGCAGCCATCTATTTTGGTTTCTCTCAACAAAAGGGTAGGGCTCCGCTCTAAATCCACTGGACATGAACCCAATGTGACTTTGCACCAGAGCCCGCTCTACGGAGCAGAACTATTAATATTCATTTACACACCCATTAAGTCTGAAGTCACTGTGGTTCACCCGATTCCTCCCTTCTTGTGCGTTTTACAGTAACACAACCCATGCAGCCTTTGTTATAAAGGCTCCTGAAGAGAAGGAGAATGGTTTGTGGCTGTGCATGCAGGGTTTGGGGAAGGGGCAAGGAGATCTTTGCAACCTGCTGGACATCTCCGAGGGCAAAATTAAAGGTTTCTCAAGACTTGTTTCCCAGCAGGGGTCTGGGAAGGGGGTAGGAAAGATGAACCCAGACTTGGCATTCATGTCTTTGAAAGTCCAGATTCAATAGTGCAGAAAAAGGAGTCTATGTTTGTGAGATAGTCTATGTTCATAAAGGAAAACCACAAAAACAGAAAGAAATGGCATCCAGGGCTGCCTTTTAGAGGAAGAGGGGGGAAGCCCTTTTTCTAAGTCTCTAGACTTACCCAATGGCACAATAGGACAGTGGGGAGGGTGTTTGACAGGTCGCCTAATGACCTGCCTAATTCTGATGGAATGCAAGGCTGGAGCCCACATTATGCTGTGTGTTTTCCTAGAGCTCATGCCAACACTAATTTATTACTCTCATCAGTGGGTTATTAATATAAAAGGGGCCTCAGTTGAAGATCAACATACATAAACTCAGTTATTAGTAAGGCTTAGTGAACAAGCACTTCAACAAAACTATCCTTTTTGATTCTTCCATTGTTTATAGGAAGCAATAGTAATGCATCAAAGTCAGTCAATTGGAGAGTAATTATATAAATTATGATACAGTCATACCATGGAATATTAGGCAGCTATTAAAATGACAATATAGATTATTATTACTGACATGAAAAGATCCCCAACATACTTACAGTATTAGATGGGGAGAGAAGCAGCTTACACAATAATTTTTATGGTGTGATCCAAATATTTTGGTAAAGAAAAAATGTATGTACAGAAAAAGCTTTGGGGAGAAGGATTACAGGTTATTTTTTTCTCTCCTTTCTTTGCTGCTTGAGTTTTTGTTTTTACCAAGGGCATATGTAATAACAAAATTACTGTATTGTGAAAACAACATACTTTTTTTTTTTTTAAGTTTCTAACCACTTCTAGGGAGAACTTCAACCTGAAAGAACATTTTAATGGCATATTCTTCACAAATACCAAAGTAGAACATTATATGGCAAGAGAAGTGGACACTGAATAGAACCCACCAGGAGTTGATGCTGTCTTGCTTCTGTTTAGGACCTTTTTTAAAACATGGGAAATACAGGAAAGAGAGACAGAGGATGGAGGGGCCGCACGCTCCTGCAGTCTGAGTCTTGTTAGGGAAGGGATGTAGTCACGAGGAGGTTGAAGCACTTCGTGTGGGGTGCACACAGGGTAAGATAGCAGTCTTCTCAAAGAGGGGTGACTGCAGGCGCAGGAGGGCAGAAACTGGGTGCCTAGAGCACTCAGCTTCACAGAATAGCCATGCCAGGGTTTGCTTGGGAAGATCATAATGTCTCAACGTAGTTCTCTTTAATGGTTCTTACGGATAAGCAAACTTTAACCGGGTTCTGAGGCTCTGTGTAAACCCCTGCAATGCGTCCTCTTCCATTATTTTCCCCTCCCCCAGGCACAGGCCCTGTTGTGCCAGTGGGATCAAAGGGGGTGGAAGGTCACACACAGGTCCTGTGACGCCAATGACAACCATATTCCCCTTGAGAGGTGGAGAGGAGAGTGATGGCTCCAAAGTTGGTCCAGTTGGGCACAGATACCCAAAAGTGACAGGTCTGGCAGAGTGGGTCATCGGGCTTGTTTTGGAAGATTGAGGCAGCAAAAGAGGGAGAGGCATTTGGAGCGTGGGTGGATCTGAGGATGCTGTCAGTGCTGGATTATCTAGGGAATGGTGCTCCACTGCCTTTCATGCTGCCCCTCCTCCTAGCTGCTGCCCCCTTAGTCATGTTGTGGCTCAGCAGCACCTCCTCTGGACGGTTCATGGAAATTCAGCCTATTTCCCCCCATTCTCAGTCACTCATATAAAATGTGGTTTGGAGGAAAGATTCTGCCATTGAAAACTAAAAACATTTAAAAAATTATTTGTGAATCTCTAGTTCTCTTGAGATTGGCTCTGTGAGGTGGGAATTGATATGAGTGTGCTGTGGGGCCTCCAGTTCTTGTAGGGAATCACTTGTTGAGAAGAAGGTGGAGGGGGAGGCCGCTGGGAAGGTATATACTTCAAGTGATTCTTCTGGAATAAATTTGGTCTTAGATTCTGCATCTATTGCCAAGCAAAGGTGACTTGGAGGTATAAAGATGCAATTAAAAATATCATCTATTAAAATTAAAAATTATTATGTATTAAATCAATTTTTCCCTTTTGGTGCACAGTTTCATGAATTTTAACACATGTATATAGATTCGTGTAACCACCATCACAATCAGGACACAGAATAGTCCCGTCACTCTGCCAAGCTCCCTCATGCTCTTCAGAGCCACAATCTACCTCCACTCAAAACTCGTGGCAACCACTGATCTGTATTTTCCCTCATGACAGTTTTATATTTAAAAGAATGCCACATAGATGGAATAATACAGTTTGTAATCTTTTGAGATAGTCTTCTTTCACTTAGAATCATGTCTTTGGTACTCATCCAAGTGGTTCCTTGTATTCCAGTTTAATCCTTTTCACTGAAGAGTAATATTATACTGTATGGATGTTCCAGAGTTTACTTAACCACTCACTTGTTAAAATGCACTTGGGTTGCTTTCAGCTTTTGATTATCACAAATAAAATCGCTATGAACATTAGTGCACAGGTTTTGGTGTGCACATAAGTTGTGACTTCTCTAATAGGATTGCTTGGTTAGATGGTAGCTGTATGTTTACATTTATAAGAAATTGCCAGACCATTTTCGAGAATGGTTTTTACCATTTTGCATTCCCAGCAATGTAGGAGAGTTCCAGTTGCTCCACATCCTCACCAGCACTTGGCATTGTCAGTACTCTTTATTTAGCATGTGTACAATGATACCTGAGCATGGATTTAACCTGTAGTTCCCTAGTGGCTTATAATGTTGAAAAATTTTTCATGTGCTTATTTGTCACTCTTCTGTCCTCTTTGATGAAATGTCTGTTCAAGTTCTTTGCCCACTTTTAAGTTGAGTTGTTTTCTTAATGTATATAAAAATTAATTTTATTGTGATGATAAGAAGAGCTGAGAACAAAAGAGGAGAAATAGAAGAGGCTTCCTTTCCACTGCCTGAAAGGATTGGGGAGTGAAAAGGGGGAAAATACAAGCTAAAACACAGTTACAGATAGATTTGTACTCTCTTCCCACACCTACCCTGGTAATAATCATACTTACTGATTCATAATCTGCCAATTCCAGCCTTGCTTTATTCTGCATTGTCCTCTTACAAAGATAGATGGCTGAGGGAAGAAGAGAAATTACAACACATACAATCACAAATTCATCTGACTGCCTGTTTATCCATCCATCCATCCATCCATCCATCCATCCATCCATCCATCCACCCACCCACCCACCACTCATCCAGCCAATCAGCAGCCAGCCCAGCTGGCTAAGTGCCCAGCTGTGCTGTGAAGAATATGTTTCTATGTGGAATCCATGACACCTCATCTCTAGGAATCTTTCTGCAAGTCAGGATGGGATAAAGACCCCATGTTCTAATCCTAACAACTCCCCTCTATCATCCTCCTCTTCTTTATCCCAGCATCCTGCATCAGGATAATCTTTATCAAATATAACCATGTTACCCTCTTATCTAAATGGCCTGCACTGACTCCTCAGTGACCTCAGAAGAAAGGTCAAGCTCCTTAGAATAACATATTTGGTTCTTTAAGATCCAGTCTGCTTGTCTCTTCCCTTCCTCACTCAGGCATGTGAGGCTACCAAACATCTTTCAGCTCCACTCCTCTGCATATGTGTCTGGTCCATAGAAGCCCTTTCCCTCTTCTCTCTTCTTTCCCTCTGTCTATCTAGCAACCTTCTACTAATCTATGAATATCCAGCTTGGTGTTCTAGATAGCTCAGCATCACATCTATCCTCCCTCAACCATAGAAACTAATTCCAATGCACTATAGTTATGGGTGTAGTAGGCTGGGCCCTGCTCTATGGTGGAGGCTCTTCAAGGGCAGAGGCTGTGTCCTATTCAGCCTGAATCTCTATACCCAGCACCAGGGCTGAGTCTGCCAGTGGATTGGATGAATAGTGGAAAAAGAGGGCAATTTAGGTCTTTCTTCCCAAGCTAAGAAAGGGTTCTTGGCCCTTAGTTGCCAGGATATTCTTTCTCAAACATGCCCTTCATTACTTCCTCTCTCTACCTCTGTTCCTTCAGTATCTCCCTCCTTCTTCAGTGCTAAGTAGACCAATCCAGGGAAGACAAGAGATGAATGGGGTGAATAAATACTAGAATAACCTGAAGGGAAGGCCAGAGAGGACCTATATGTTGTTTGACAACTTAAGTACACTAGGTCAGGGGCTTAATCATAAGGAACAACAACAGCCTGTAATTTTTGGAATCGAGAGTCTAGGTCAGTGGTCAGCAAACTCATTAGTCAACAGAACGGCAAACCGCTGCTCACGAGCCAGTTTGCCAACCACTGCACTAGGATATGTAGGCAACTCCTTGTTGAATTAGCCAACCTCCTCCATGTGGTCTGAAAATTTTACTGATGGCAGCCTGGGGTATGCTAGAACCTTCTGCTCACACCAGAGTTATATGTGGATGAGTGTCAGTTATGTTTCCCGCCCCCCTCAATTATGCTTATGTTAGGCACATCTGTTGTTTGAATAATGCAAGTGCACTAAATATTACACATTCTGATGCAATTAATGTGAAAAGAGAGAGTTGTTTCTATGAAGTTGAATAGTTCAGAACAACTTGATAAAATAGTTGCTGATGAATGTGGTACAGGTGAGATAACTGGAAAAAAAGAGAGAAAACATAATAAAAATTTCAGAGCAGTAAACAGGCAGATTGCTTCAAAAGTGTTTTTAAATTCCTGATGCATTTTAAACATGCCCAAACTGGGTGGTTTATTTTGAGTATGGTTTACTGAAGGGAAAAAACTCAAATTATTGGGACCCATAATCAAAGTGACTCTTTGGTCTTCCTTTAAGAGACTGCCAAGTGAATATACCTTTGAATGTCCTACATTAATATGAAGTTATTAAGATATATATGTGATATTTTTCATGATTCTCTACTTATCAATTTTTTTTCAGTGAACTAAGCAGCTACAACTCTCCATTGTGTCTGATAAAGTACTTGTTTGGTCTCTGGGACCACTGGTGAGGCAGCCTGTGAAATTGGGGGTGACCCAGAGCAGGAAGCCTGGCATGCCACCGGATCCAGCAGACCCAGCAGGACTGAGCAGGAGCAGTGCCGGTCAGTGGAGGTGGTGGCTGCTTTGACAATACTGCCTCAGATAATATTTTGTATTGGCCACAGTGAAACTCAGGAAAGTGTAAGTCAGATTGGGGCTCTATAGAGGCAGAATCATCCTCAGAAATTTACAACCATCTGGGTCAAAATGGGCCAGCTAGGTTATGAAGTATAAAGTACCATGCAAGGAGAAGCTGGTACTATTCCCCATGACCATAGTTACATGGTGGCATGCTTTCAGCGCACTTTCCCTTGTGGCTAAGGTCACATGTGAGGGAATCTGTTCACCAGAACTAGGATGGTGGGATGTGGCTATAGAGTGGACCTCTTCTTGGCACAGACCTTCCTTGGGCTTGTCTGCACCACGGCGGTGCCTTCAACCGTGCTTGTTCTAACATCTAACCAATCAAATGACCGCTGGCAACTACAGCTGGTCCTATAACAGGGCATCTGGGGGACTTGCTTGAAGATCAGATGTTGGCTTTTCTTGGATATTTAATTTCTCATTGAAAAATCTTGGTCTTTTTGCCCTCACATCTGACATTCCCACCTCACTGGCTTCTGACGTGGATGACCCAATGCCATCACAAGCTCATTATGTATCACTGTGACAAAAAAAGAACAGGTTACAGAGAGGAAACTGGTGGTGGACAGAAGGAAGAGCACTTGGGAGGACTGGGTGAAAGAGGTGAAAGGATTAAGAGGTACAAATTGGTAGCTACAAAATAGTCATGGGAATATGGCATATAGTCAATAATATTGTGGTAATTATATATGATGCCAGGTGGGCAATGGAAATATTGGGGGATCATTTTGTAAACTATATGATTGTCTACTGTAAACCTGAAACCAGTACAAAATGATATTGAAAGTAAACTATAATTAAAAAATAAAAATAAAAATGCAAATATATAAAAAAAAGAACATGTTAAAAATTTATAAACAGAATGAGTTCATGGGTAACATGTGTAATTAAACATTTAAAAACTATTGACCTTATTCTACATCAAGGTACTTTAAAAACTGACTCATTTTCCAAACTGCCTGTGCTAGTGACATCATTATTTATCTCAATCTCCTAAAATAGGAGATGGTATTTTTCTATTTTCCTCATACCCTCTAATTAACTTTTCGAACAATGGAATTTTAGCAATGGAAGTAACCCTGGCAACCATCAAGTAAAGACCTTTCATCGACAGATGGAAAAACTAAAGGCCAAGAGTGGTGAATTGATTTACTCACCTCTGGTTACTGGTGGAGGTGGAAATAGAATTAAGGTCTCGTTCAGAGCCCTTTTCTGACTATGACAGTCATTGCCCCATTTACTTATTCATTTTCTCATTGAAAAGAGTGTGGAATGTCTCTATGTGCCAAGCACTGCTTCAGGCGTTGGGGAAATCACCGTGAGAGCAGCTACCATTTACGTGGCGCTCGCTCGCTGAGAGTTGGGCCCTTCCAAGCGTTCACTTACTCCTCACAATAACCCTGTGAAGTGGGTTCTCTACTGGCCTATTTTATAGATGAGGAAACTTTTTCAGGTCATTCTCCATTAATGGGGCTCCATTATGGCTCCCTAATACTGCTGATTTCATTCTAAACGTCTCCCCTTGACTATGTTCTGACCTGCCCCTCCCACACTACTGAACATTCTCAATCTATCTTCATTAACGTAAAACCTTTGAGTGCTCAGATCAGACTCCTCACTACGCCCTTCTTACCCCTGTCATGCCACCTCTCTGGAATGCTTGGAGAACAAGACTGTGATTCATTCAAAGAGGTGACTGAGCAATTGATGCAGAGGAGGTGATCAGGAAATGTTTGTTGGATGAACGAAAGTTCCTGGTTCTTTGTCAATCCAAACCATACCTCTTCTGAATTCTTAGCTTCAATTTCACATCCTCCCTGGTAGGAGGAGCACCAGAGAACCAATAAGATCAAACATCAGTCTAGGAATGACAATACCAGCCACCACTGAGGTTTTATTGGCTCCTTACTATCTGCCATACACCAAACCTTACTTGTATTTCATTTAATCCTAACAAGACAAAGCTGGGAGACAAGTTCTATTATAATTTTGCTTTTAATATGAGGTTTCTGAAGCACAGAGGAGCTAAGGAACTTGCTAAGATCACACAGCTAGTGGAGCTAGTCAATGCTGGGCCCACTGTGCTGAATTCTTTCTTGGGAAATACTTACTTTCTGAATAAACTGCTTTGGAAATGTTGGTGAGTGAATACCACACCTTGACTTCTCCATCTGATTTGCCAAAATCCAGGCATATGAATTAAAAAAAATAATTTTGCTTTAATGAGAACCTGATATAAATTGTTATTGCTATCCCTGTTTATGCTGGACAACTAAAATTAAAAAACGAAGAAAACATGTAGAGAAAGAAAAATAGTGCCCATTGTATGCAGTGGTAGATGGTTTAGGTTTTACAGTCAAGTAATCATTTCAATCTTAGTTGGGCCCAGTTTTCTGGTCCTACCATCCTCCCACCCTCACTATGGCCTGGAAAAATATTGGTTTCCACATTCATAAGGGTGCATGTCTGCCGCACAAAACACCTACAAGCATTCAAATTCTGGATTCGGTTTTTGTTAGCAAAATTTCAGCCCCAGAAACACTTGTTTTATGAGCAGCCATATGCAGCTCCCATTCTGAGCCAGAAGCCTTGCTGGAAGTCCAAGACCAAGATGTCAGTAGGGTTTCTTGGGCTTCCACTTATCACATCATTTAGGGTGCAGCACAGTTCCAGAGGGGCGATAAGATAAGGGCCTGTACTCTGTGTGAGGGCCATTTTCCAGACTTGGAAACAGAGCATCCGTAGTCTAGTTAGCCAATGACTTGTTCACATTCCATCCTTAGGATTGCTTCTAATTGCTAGTTACCCTTCCCTCAAATGTGTGGACTGAGGGTGTAGCTGGTCACACAGGTCTCCGGGACCGACTCCCCAAACACCTCCCAGTGGTCGCTGCCTCTGCCTGCCTGCCTGTGCCCACATCCTGCAGAGAGTCTGGGGAGCTGCTGATCTCATCAAGTGCCCAGTGAGAGAACAGCTGAGCCAGTGATGAGGATGCTGTGCAAAGGGACAAGTGCTTCTGCATGATGCCATGCACAGGACCATGAAAGCAGCATGGGCTTTGGAGTCACTCAGATCTGAGTTAAAATTCTGCTGCCTCCACTAAGTGTCTGCTAAGTGCCTTTAATAAAGAACAAATACTCAGCACCAGCTATGCCTCAGGTATGCATTGAGGGGTCTGAGAATGAACAAGGTGGACTAACCCCGCCCTCTTGGAGCTCCCAGACAAGTGGAAAATTGTGATAACTGTGCAAAGTGTGAGGATGTGGCCTCTGGTTCTTTATCTGAAGTAGAAGGACAATATCACTTCTTAAGAGGATTGGCACACAGAAATACTAAACAGCCTCCATATGGCAAGAGTCTAATAGATCCCTCCCTTTATAAAGGCAACTCCCTGCTTACCCAGTTCGAAACTTCACCCACTCATTATTTTTCTGGACCAGGGAAACTTCGGTATATCCCTGCTCTGATATTTCTCAGTTTCTCCCTAAATTCCAACTATCAAAAACACCAGAGAGTTATTAATAAATGTTAACAAGTCTGTGACATAGAAAGGGTCAGGAGGTGGTGGCCCCTGGATGTAGTCCTCCTGGGAACAGTCACGGCCCCCGTCCTACAGAGTTGCTGTGGGATCCTGGTTTTCCACGGCCCCACAGAATGCACCTATTGGCCTCCCTTGATAGACTTCTTCCGTCCCCCATTTCCTTCCCACGGCTGCATCTTTCTGTGTGTGCTGCCTTTCTCCATGGTGTGAACAGGATGTTTGTTACATGTCAACAGGATGACAAAGGGGTAAGGCAGGTGAAGAACCTCCTCCCCTGCTCTCTATTGCCAACACAGAGCATTTGCCTTCGCGCTCCCAGCAGTAACACCGAGTATGGGCTGTGCCTTCACTGCTCACCATAGTCAGTGTTTTCAGGTTCCCAGCAGTTCGATGGCCAGAAGTATGGAGCCTGCAAAAGAGCAGGGGTGTCAGGACTCAGAAGCACTTACCCTTCCCTGCCTAGGGGTCAGGGTCAGCCCTCCCTGAACCCAGCGAGGACCCCCCTCCCTAGGACCGGCTCTGTCCCTATCTCCTTTGTGCTGACACCACAGCCCAACCCTCTCCTGTTCTTAGTGCAGCTGAGGGCAGTCAACATTTTAATTTAGGTGCTGAGGAATGAATCCAGGTAAACAAATAAATGAGAAAAGGAGAAACTTAGTTTATAGGGCAAACATTTCTTATCCTGAGACAATAGAAGTCTAACCACAGAAGATAGAATGGCATGGTTTTCTGGGTATAAGTCCCAAGTTCCTGAGTAGTGTTATCTCCCCCCCCCCCCCCCCCAATAGCTTCAAGTTCATATGATGAAGTCCTAACTTTCTGTGGCTGTATTGGGAATAAGGAAGTAAAATGAGACTTTAAGGGTGGGACCCTGATCCCATAGGATTAGTGCTCTTATAAGAGGAAAGAGAAGATCTCTGTATAATGGGTGACATTTGCCCCCAGAAAATTGTTCTTCAGAATAAATGAGGAAATATATATATAAAATGTCCAATAAACAGGTTCTCCATGAGGGCTTTTCTGTATTATTTGGGTGGAGCAACAAAAGGCCCAGACAGAAGTTTGCTTGGTTTTCCCGAGCTGGTGGGAGGTAAGCGTTGCTCCCTTAAACACACTCAGCTTTTCCACGTGTTTCTAATCTGCAATCAGAAGATGATGAGAAGAAAAGGCTCTTCAGGAGGAGGAGCTGGCAGGCCTACCTGGAACCGATAAAAGGTGCCATCGTCCTTCATGGAGAGAACATGGTCCGAGATGGGAAAGACATAGCCCTGGGCAGCTATCAGGCTTCCCAAGTGTATTGCTTCAACTGCGGGGACAGGGCACAAGAGAGAGAAGTAATTAGGAAGCTGTCAGAATGCAGGGCTACTTGGATGAAATGTAAGCTGTGAGTGCAGAAAGGCAACCAGAAGTTAACTGTCACCACCCCTAGATAACTCATTTCTGATTGATTGATTGATCAATAACTTTATGATATGATTGCATGGGGCTGGGGGAGTGTCAGTGGTTGGGAAGCAATATCAAGTGTCTGGGACTTCTCTGGATCTCAGCTCTGAGAGTCTGACATTACTTGAACCTCCCTCACCCCCCTCAAGGTTTCCAGAAGAAAGTGCTCATGCTGGTATAGATAAACCTGTGATAGTTCACATAAGGTGTGTAGCAGCGTCTGGGGCAGGTTCAGTGCTCAGTATGGGCCGGTGGCCCTGATTCATATTTTATTCTCATTTCTTATCATCCTTATCAGTGAGCATGAAGCTTCACCACTCACAGAGACTCTGCCCTCAAACTGCATTGTCTGATGTGACAGCCCCTTCTCTTAGGGACATAAAGGCAAGCCTCGCTTTTGTAGTGAGCAGTGTAGTGAGCAATGGCACAGGGAGGCCAATTTGGTAAAAAAAAAAAAAAATTATATTTTTGCCACAATCAACACATTGTTTTGTTACTTTAACACCAACCATAACTACGTTCACACAAATCATTAAGAATTTATATTTAGCCCAACAGGCATGACTCAGGGGTTGAGTGTCAAACTATGAACCAGGAGGTCACGGTTTGATTCCCTGTCAGGGCACACGTCTTGGTTGTGACTCAATTCCTCAGTGTGTGTGTGTTGGGTGCATGCAGCAGGAAGCTGATCAATAATTCTCTCTCATCACTCATGTTTCTCTCTCCCTCTCCCTTTCCCTCCGAAATCAATAAAAATGTATTTTAAAAAAGAACTTATATTTATCTGAGCAGAGCCAAGAAAAATAATGAATTGAAATGATTATACCACACATAATAATATAAAAGTACTTTTCACACATATAAAAGTACTTTTCCTGGTAAAAATCAAATTTCCGGATGTGGAAATTATTATTATTTTAAAAAATATCTTTATTGTTGAGAGTATTACAGGTGTCCCCCCTCTTACTTCTCATTTGCCCTCTTCCACCTGGATGTGTAAATTATTGACATGAAAAGGGGTTTCTAGGAACTAATTTTGCATGTCTTTATAAGTTTTTAAAAGTGACTTGTTTTGGCTTTACTTGCCAACTTTTCAAGAGGCTGTGTATAACCCAGGTGCTGTGTTTACTAAGAACCACCTCTCCCCTCTTTAGAAGAAATGTGCACGTGAAACTCGTGGGACTAGAGCAAATGAAATTTTATTTTACCTACTTGGTGCTGACCAGTTTGCTTTCTAAAGTCTATATGATTTAAGAATCATGGGTCCAGCAAAAAAGGGGAGTTTTATCACCTATAGCTGCTCCTTACCCAGGAAAAAAAGAACAAAATCCACTAAGAAGGCGACTTTCATGTCACCAGTTTAGAGCTAGAACTCCCACTTCATTCTTTGAGCAAAAGGGCTTTTGCTTAGACAGGTGGCAGACAGGGAATAGAAAGGGAGAGAGGGGTGAAGGTTAGACATGTCTGGCTTCCTAGGGCCTTAGTTTGCCTCATTTCCACCCTTCTATTCCCAGCTGGTGAATAACTCCTCCTGCTCAGAAGCCTGGCAGTTCCCAACACCTGGAAGTTCTCTTAAGGGCATCAGAGTTTAGCGGACCGTCAGAGACATGACCCTTGTCATTGTGCACCTTTCACTGAGGATCCTCATACTAGGGCCAGAGGGGATTCCTAACCATCTCTCCCACCATTAGCTGGTTCAGGATTCTCAGCATACTACTACTAACCACTACTATTACTATTACTACTTACTACCACCACCACCACCACCACTACACTATCATCACTACCACTACCACCACCACTACTACTGTTACTACTACTACTACCCACTATTATTACTATTACCACCACCACCACCACTACTACTACTATTACCACTACTACTACTAACCACTACTATTACTATTACTACTTACTAGCACCACCACCACCACCACCACCACTATACTATCATCACTACCATTACCACCACCACTACTACTACTATCATCACTACCACTACCACCACTGCTACTTTACTACTACCACTACCCACTACTATTACTTTACCACCACCACCACCACCACTACTACTACTATCGATACTACTATTACCACTACTACTACTATCACCACTACCACTACTACTGTTACTACTACCACTACCCACTACTATTTCTTTTAGTTATTGCCACCATCACCACCACTATTACTATTACTACTACCAATACTGCTACTACTTCTAACTACTACTATTACTATTACTATACTACTACTACTACCACCACCACCACTACTATTACCACTACAACTACTAACAACAATACTGATAAAATATTTCAGTGACACAATTATTATTTTAGAAGGGCGAGGTAAACAGTGCTCTTGGAAGAGACCACCATGAAGAAAGGTGACCCTTAGTTTAGCATCATCATCAAAAGAAATGCTGACTTTAAATACATGTAACTACGCTGGGAGACACTTATTCGGTCCAGCCTCTGTAAGTGGACAATCAGAAGTCCAGGCTGCGTAGGGAAAACACAATAGCCAGTTGATTTAGGTTATTTTCTGAAAAGGATTGGCAGGTATTGTTTTCCCCTGTGGATAAAGAACTTGACTAGAATTAAGAATTTTCATGAGTCATAAGAATGACCATTAATCAAGGTGATGGAAAAGGCTATGGTCACTTCATTAGTGGCCTGCTTTTCAGGCACTCAGGCTTCTGGCAACAATATTTAATCAAACTCTATTAAATTATATTGTTTTGTAGTCCATAGTATATTAGGAGCATCAGATTAAAATACAGGAATGCCCGAGCTGACATACTGACCCCAGCTAAGAACCACAGCTGAAGATCAGATAGCTAGAAAGGGAACTTGAAAAAAGATCTTTAAAAAGCATAGCAATTGTCCGGCCAGCCTGGCTCAGTGGTTGAGTGTCGACATATGAACCGGGGAGACATTGTTGGATTGCCAGTCAGGGTACATGCCTGGGTTGTAGGCTCAGTACTCAGCAGGGGGCATGCAGGAGGCAGCTAATCATTGATGTTTCTATCTCTCTTTCCTTCTCCCTTCCTCTCTAAAATCAATAAAAATATATTTTAAAAAATATAGTAATTGGAGGCCACTTAATTTGGGGCAAAGAGGTCTAATAAATAAGAACATCAGAATACATGTATGGGTATTTTTACATAAGAAATATAGGCATCAGGAATACTCAGTTAAGTCAGGGAGTGAATAATAAATTCATAAAAAGTATTAACTAACAACACATGGTAATAAGCTATACTTAGCTAGAATTTTCATTTTTCTGGAACTCCCCATTTTTTAATTATGCCGTGAAAATAAATTTTACTGCTTATTTACTGGTGGGAGGACAGATTTAGAAACTGTTTTTATTGGGTAGAGTTTTGTTATTGTCTTTCTGGTAAGGTTTTCCTAATTGAAATGCACAATTAAAGTTGAAAAAAAAAATTCCTCCCCTTCTTGCAGAAGAAGAAAACAGAAGGCATCTTAGCAAATAATTAAACATCTTAATTGTGAATCAGGCAATCTAATTTTAAGATCCGGGTCTGGAAGGCTGCTCAGTGACAGCACTACAACTTATCTTTAATTGCTGTGGCTAATGAGAATTCAACTCATTTCACACGTTACTGTATTGGGCTCTTTGGCATTCTCAGTGGTTACTCATTTCCTCAAAGGGTGATTTAAATTTAAAGGTAGATATTCAGTGGAGAAAATGAATCTATTTCATTTGTAAGTAAAGAGGTTCCACATCTTGGGATTCACCTATAAGCCCAGTACTCCGGAGGGTAGGAGATCTAGACTGGAACTTGGTTATATGGGATGTTTATTGAGACCATGAGGGATAGAGTCAGGGTCAAAGGTCAAGTACCTGGGTCTTCGATGGACAGGTTCTTCATCAGCCACTGCACAATGTCAGTACCTGCAACGACAAAGCAATTCACCTGAAGACCTGGTGGGTGGTAAGCCCGGGGGCAGCAGAAGCATGTTTATCTAACAGAATCCTCATTCGAATGAGCACACACCTAGAGATCTGGGCGATACTGATGCTTTTCCATCCTAACAAACTCTACCCATTGGTTCACTGCCACAGTTATAATCCCATTATTTTCCAGAAACCATCCACTTCTGATGACGCCGAAGGATCTTGTGTGCACACACTTCTGGGGAGCATCTGTAGGGAACAGCCTGCGCATATAGATTTGGATGACTTCCCCAAGGCAGGCTGATGAAATTTAACCATGCCTGGCCTGCAGACCATTTCTTATCGAGAGTGGTCTCCTCCGTTCCCTACTCTTACTGTCAAGGGATGAAAAGGTTCCTGAAAATGTCTCTTTCTTCTGGCATGGGCCCACCCTGAAAGAAAGTATCCCTATGTCAGTCTGTGGGAGAAACTTCTCTGTATTCACCTGTCCCCTGGGCCAGGGGACATTTCCTGACGCTCCTTCAGTTTGGTGTGGACTGAGTTCTGACAGGGGGCATGATGAATGCCTCCTGTCAGGCCCAGTTCTGACACGGGCCGTGAAAACTCCCACATGGCCCTGCACAGCTCCAGACCCCTCTATCCAACACCTGCTGGCTGAATGGAGAGGACTTCAAGGGCCCAGGATGGGCAGAGCCACAATGTGGAAGGAGCCTGGGATTCTGAACAACCATGAAAACCGATGCCCATTTGGGGCTCTGACCTGATTGAAAGTGTGTCATGTTAAGCCCCAGAAATTGGGGGCTTACCTGGTTAGGCATCTGGTATTATCCTAACTAATTTAAAATCTTATGAGTCAGAAGGGATGTTTAAAACTTACCGTATTTTCCAGCATATAAGACGACCCCCTAATTTTACAGTTAAAAACATAGGTTTAGGCCTATATTCGCTGTATAAGACTACCCCCACTTTCGAGGCAACACCAGTTCTTTTTTTAATAGACCGCCTCTCTGACTCTGGCCAATCCAAGCAGGCTTTTTATGCATGCAAATTATACATGTTCTGTACCCGAAGCTACACTGTGTTCTAATAAAAAGCCTGCTAGGGCAGTGGTATAGTGCCATCCTAGATGTCCAAGTGAGGTGCTTTCTATCCGTCCTCTTTTCTCTGTTCCCTCTGCTGAGACCTGAATTCAGACCACTGAAAAAGCCCCATTGACTTTTTTTTCGTTTCAAAAGTCGTCTTTTACGCCGGAAAATACGGTACTTGCTCCAACTCCAGCCAATACATGAGTCCCCACCTGTAACACCTCAGACAAGAGGTGCTGTAATCTCCATTTAGAAAACCCCCAGACCTCAGAACTCACAGATCCTCTCCTAGCCAGCCTGTTCCAGTGGAATCGTCTTTGATTTCTAGGAGCAGAAACTGGACTTAACTCTGGGGCTTGCTCTCTTTGGTCTTAGTTTTGCATTCTAACGCTAGAAAAACAAACCCATACCTTCTCACTCTGTGGGACAGGTCTTCAAACATTGGGGCAGTTCAACTGACATACCATCGGCGTCTTCTTGAGTGCCCATCCCTCTCGTGAGCCATGCCTGGTCTCTCGCCATTTTGGTCACAATGAATTCCCTTTTGTCTACCTCCATGTGGAAATGTGGCTTCTAGAACCAACGTTTCCTAGGGCAGCCCAGTTCCCATGGGGGTGGAGGAGTTGTTTTCAGAGGATTCTGAACTTCTGATCAATTCACTCCAAATCTCACTTTAAACCAGTGCCGACCTTCGAAGGTGGCCTTGTCATTCCAGGATGGATGCATGGCAGAAAATAGCCTGAAAGGGGAGCATTTCCAGATAGCTAAGTCCTGGCAGGGGTGTGAGGCTTGGTGGGAGGGAGCAGGCCTGTGGACAAGCTGCCTGGGACAGATTCCTGCCTAAGAGACTGGAGAGCGTGCAGATGGGTTTAACTGTTGTCCTTTATTAGAAACCAGGTTTCCAGAAATTTGGTTGCCAGTGGGGAGACTACCCTGTTTCCCCGAAAATAAGACAGTGTCTTATATTAATTTTTTTCTCCCAAAGTTGCGCTAGGTCTTATTTTCCATGCGCTAGGTCTCATTTTCTGAGGATGCCTTATTTTCGGGGAAACACGGTAGTTCAGGCCTGAGTGCTTAGACATTTTGCTTCTCTCTGGCTCTCTGGAAGGTCGATGAACTCTACATGGTAATCAGGCAGGGGGCCATCCTACTCTTTCTTTTCTTTTTTATTTTTAATATATTTTATTGATTTTGTACAGAGAGGAAGGGAGAGAGATAGAAAGCTAGAAACATCGATGAGAGAGAGTCATCGATCAGCTGCCTCTTGCACACCCCCTACTGGGGATATGCCCGCAACCAAGGTACATGCCCTTGACTGGAATCGAATCTGGGTCCCTTCAGTTCCCAAGCCGACGCTCTATCCATTGAGCCAAACTGGTCTCGGCCATCCTACTCTTTCTGTATGTTCTCCCCTTTCTGCCCCCCCCACCCCCGCCCCGACCAATCTCCACTGCTGCAGGCCCCCCACATATCAACCTCAAAAGCAAGACTTCTGAGCTTTCCCCTCTTCTTGCTTCCGGCTGTCATCTATGAGCTAAACTTTGGATCCAAAGCACCCCTGCTCATTCACATTCTTGGAGAGAAAGGCAGAGGATGTCTGTGTGTGCTTGTGCATGCGGGTCCATTTCCTCCAAATTATACAAGTTCAACATTTGTCCTAGGAAATGAAGAACAAAGCAGAAATCAAATAAGGACTGTAATCCCAAGTTGGGAGTGGGGGGAGAGACGCTAACCTGTTTTTCCCCTCAAAAGAAAAATAGTCCTTTTTTGCGGGTTGCCTGGAAACGGAGAGGTTTCCAGCATCAGCAACAGCTCTCCCCGGGGCAGGCGGATTATCTTTCTGCTGAGCTGGCGGAACCATTATTTATCACCTGCCAAGACTGATTACTCACCCTGGGACAATGACAGCCCTTCCTTTCCCCTGTTAATTACTGTCATCATTAATATCCATGTCACTAATTAGTATTCATTCACACTGAAACTCTTTCCTCCCTGTCATACCCGCTCCCCCTCCACCCACTCCAGCCCCCAGCACCATTGTCTGGGTTTCTACCCCCTTTTGGCTTTATGGGCTCAGCGTCTCGCCTGATTGTCTGCCTAGTCCACCAAGGCCCCATCTGCATTCAGAACTGAAGGATCCCATTTAATCACATTGTGTGTGTGTGTGTGTGTGTGTGTGTGTGTGTGTGTGGCAAAGCGAAAATCACAAAGGCCCCTTTTCCTTTCCCCTGGCACCATGGGGACCACAGGCCTCGGTTTCTTGTCCTGGGTGCAGCCTCTACAACAGTAAGTGTCTTCATTTGGGGGCTGGTGTGACTGTCCTCGGCCCTGGTGAGAGCTGGGCTGCTGCCCCGAGCTGTCCTGGCCGCTGCCCTCAATCAGTAGCAGCACCCACCACCCCACCATCCCACATATGCTATTGGCACGTGTGGTGGCCATCAGGAAACAAGGCAACGCCTAGCGCTGTGGACTCTCCCTCTGTGGGTGCAGGGTGTCCTGGGCTTCCGAGGGACTGATTTGGGGAAGCTAGCCCCCAACCTGATGGTGGAAAGTAAACTGCTGCCTCTTCGGCCCCAGAAGAAAGTCAGGAATAAAAGTCCGTCCTAATATGATGTCCATGAAAAGGCCTACAATTGTTCCACTGTAGACTCAGACAAGAATAGTCCAAACAACGACCAGGATAAAGTATTCTTCTCCCTTTCCTTTCTTCCTCTTTCCTCCCTTTCTCCAATCATTCTTGCCTTCTTATTATAAAAATAATTTCAAGATTATTTTCTGTTCTATCCAAAATTTGTTGTTGCCTTTTGTGATCACTATTGGGTTCTGATTCTTATGTCAGCCAAGTTGCCCTGCCAAGGACTTAAAATCAATATAAAAACATTGCCCAGCTGGCATGGCTCAGTGGTTGAGCATTGATCTATGAACCAGGAGGTAACAGTTAGATTTCCAGTTAGGGCATATGCCAGGGTTGGGACCTCAATCCCGGTGGGGAGGGGGGTAATCAAATGTTCTCTCTTATCATTGATGTTTCCATCTCTCTCTCCCTGAAATATCTCTGAAATCAATAAAAATACATTAAAAACACACACCAAAACAAAAACAAAAACAATCCCCCCCAAAAAAAAACAACAACACAAAACAAAAACCAACAAGCAACAAGTGTGGGATGGTTACCTTTTATTCCTCAAGGTCCCAAAACACTTGGCTCAAAGTTTTCTTTTTGAGGTAAATTTATCAACATATATTTTAGGAGCATCATGAATACATCAGAGGGCACCTGAAACACTTGTCCACAACCTGAGTGGTTTACTAGCTGAGCCCCAATTAGATTATGCAAACTTGAGAAAAGGTTGGTTCCAGTCACCTGCAAATTTCAAGGAACCTGTAGCTTATATGTTACTAGAGGACCAGTGCACAAAAATCATGCACTGGGGGGAGGGGGGTTGTGGGGTAGTGGTGGTGGTGGTGGTGTGTGTGTGTGGGTGGTTGGTGGTGTATGGTGGTGGTGGGGTGGTGGGGTGGGGTGTTGCCAAGCCTAAGTTGGCAGTTAGACATTCCTCTCGCAGTCCAGGACCCCTTGTTCCTTACTGCCCGCCTACAGCGGAGGCAGAAGAGGCTCCTGACACCACTGCTGTGCTCACCAGCTATGAGCCTAGCTTCTGGTTAAGGGGCATTCCCTGTGGGCATTCACTGATCATCAGGGGGCAGCTCGTGAGTTGAGTGTCTGCCCCTGGTGGTCAGTGTGTGTCATAGTAAATGGTTATTCCACCATTTGGTTTATTTGCATATTAGCCTTTTACTATATAGGATAGTGCTGACAACTGAAGCTGTTGATAACTCATTAGCCCTCACCACAAAGGAAAGACACTTCCACTTGAGTAACCTGTTTCTGGAGCCCAACAAAAGATAACA